GCTGTAACGATGAATTGAATAGGTTCTTCCTTGTGCTTTATCTGCCTCGTGAACCTTACTGTGAGCCTTACTTGTGCTGGTTTCCAGGTAGGTTTTACTCACTAGCTTTCGATAGATAGTAGTGGAACGAGGCTTTAAACTGCTATTGTCCAGTATTATTGATTAAAACGTTACCTAACCAACTGATTTGATACTGCCCAGTCAGTTATCGTGTACCGAACCAATTCGTCTGACATTCGCGCTCGGTGACAATGGATGATTTCTGATAGTGCTTCTAAGTCCAAGCTCGCTCAGTGGCGTCTGTGTGCTTGGATATCTAGTGTAGCTGACCACAGAGATCCCTACAATTCAAATCCGATATTTTATCTTCACCGCAATTGCCCCGTTCGCGTATATGTGCGTGTTGATGTCCAACGAAAATGTTAGCGTAACTTACACTTAGGTGCACTATAATGCTGTCACAATACAAAACTTCATTATATTTTACTCTATTCGTATTTTCTATTAGATCATATATTTAACTGCCTGAATAACACGTGCAGTGTATGACCAAATGAGAGAGGCTACTCCTTGATGTATATATACGGTTAGCTCATATAAACCATTATAATTACGGTCGAGTAAATAACGTATGAATAGGAAAAGTTATATACATATACCCATGTAAAAATATGTCGCAGATCAGAATAGCACCAAATAGACAATCATACGTAAATACTGATTCGTTGGTAATTCTCGATTGTGAATTCGCTGATAATTATTGTTTAATATAAGAGAAACACTGCTGAGTTCGATTGATCGGTGCCCCGGCATGTCATTTTACGTGTGTCAGAATATTTGAGCGCCAGTATATCAGTAACGTGTACCTTTGGATAAGACTCTGCAGATTTGTTGGCTATATCTAAGGTCGCCGTAGACACTTCTATATGCAATACACGCTATATTCGTCTTTCAGTTGACGTCGACGTAATTTCTGATCTTCCCGCTGCCAAACAGGCAAAGCGGGGCACGACTGTCTGTCAGTAATAAGTGCCACCTCAGCTTGTGTTCAGTACGCGTCAGGACGCGTGCTAAAGAACAACATATGGCCAAATACAATTAAGGACTGCATTGTTTATTTTTGCCGGATCCTTAATATATCTATATCACCTCGAACTGAAATCTCTACTGAAAAAAATTCTGGACACATGCATACACCGGGGAGAAATCTTATGAGACACTGAAGTTAGGAAAGAAATCGTGAGGTTGGGGGGCACGAAAGGCAGGCGGGCGTACCTATACTTGGATAGCTTGCAAAACATCGTTCGACTAGCGAGAACGTTCCGACAGCCTTCTCAATTTCGCTTTGCTACTTTTTACACCTTTTGGGGGCATTTCGGCCACGAAGCCGCATACAGAAAACTAGAATAGGATGTCTAGCAGTCAGGTGACTATTGCCACTTTCTCGACATCAATTAGAATGTCTGCCATGAACAATGGAAGACCTGGCTGAGGCAGTGAACGACAGCCTACCGAGAAGTGGCATTGCCAGTGTCTCATATGAAGGGGGCGTCTTTTTATCGCTAATGTCCGCACCGAATTTTTCCTCGGGTGCCCGTTTACAGTTTGATTCGCAATCAGTGCGCGAAGAGAGCTGGATTACGTGAAAGAAAAGCAAACAATCGTTCAGGAAACAGTAAAAATATAGACCTCAAGTAGATATTTATGTAGACGTATTCTTGCTGCACACTCACCTACAGAACAGTAGAGGTATTGTTTACTTGAGTTGCTAAAGGGGAAATGCATCACAAACGGGCTTGTCCCTCTGCACGACTGGTATAGGTCTGGTCTGCTAACAAGGCAATGTACTTGAACATTTGTCTAAACGACATGAGCCGCATTACAGCAAAACTGGCTTTTTTTTTGTCTTCTGTATCAACCGAGTCCTTTATATGAAAATATTTCCAGCCTCCTTCTTTCAACGTCCTCATAAGCTGTAACTAAATCAACCATACGAACTTGAGCATTACAGGACAGCTTAATCTTCGTTCCTTCTTTGTTGACGCCTTTCGTAGCTATCTTTTATGACACGGTTTGACTCAAGGATAACCCAACAAAACAAGGTTAAAATACCCAATCCGATAATGGATGGCGAAAGACAGTAGCGTTGCGCATAAGACCTTCAAGAGATTCTTCAAATTCTAAAAAAAAAAATCTAAGAAACACTTACATTGTTTCTAAGTTCTGCTTGTTCTCTAGCGCATGTTGCGATCGTCAGTGATAAAATCCTCATTCATATTCCAAAAATATGATTGTCCAACGTTGCCACTTAAGAGACAGCCACCGGCAGCAAACTCGCCTCAAGCAAGAACTGTTAGCTTAATTAGGCTTTAGACAAGTAAATCAAGTACATCTACCTGTGGATTGATTGAGACGTAGTAACAAACGATAATTCGTTCTCGGCAAAGGATATCTCTATGTTAGGTTCTTAGCCACTCCCGGGCTATGTAGAAACACGTGGGCATCGGATAAGTATTTCCTTTCATTGTTTGTTCCTTTATGTTATGTATGTTGTTCTTAGGTGGTGGCCAACCTTGTGTGATTTGAGCTTCTGATAATTGTCGTAGGCCACCGCAGGTTGAACAGAGCAAGATATTACTTTGAACGCAATTCGAAATTATTCATCGTAGGCATGAATCCATTTCAGACTGCCAAATCAAATTAACAAAACAGTAAGAATATTAGTAGTTTTATTGGCGATTCTATGCATGTATCGCAACGTACGAACTAGCCATCCCATAGTTCAGTGACCAATGCTAGCGCACTTACGACTAGTGTCCCAAGAAATAGCCACAACTAGATCCTAACATAGCTACATAAGGCAAGCTAAGGGACCTATTAGATATGTAGGGTTCCAAGCGACTGCTACCTGGAAATAATGAAATGTTTTGTTTCTCGAAACAGAAATGTCAGTAGGAATGAGGTAAAAAAAAACTCACCTCTCCAATTCAGGTTGTCTTACTTTCTGAACAAGAGGTGAAGAGCAGAAGAAGTGTCTAAAGCGGACGACTCTGGCTCATCGACAACAACGCAGCAAGTCACTCCCCCTGTCGGGGAAACGGGGGTGCGGTCACTGACCCCAGTCAGCCAATACTTCGCTGCGAACCAATTTCTAAATTGCGCAGATTTCTCTATTGGGTCGCAAACTGTCCCTCTCGTGATCCGTCGCTCTCTTGGGGTATGCTGTAGGGATGTACGAAGGCATACAACGAAGGATTACTATTCCCTTTCACTTTTATCAATTCTACTGGGTCTAGGACCATTTTGAGCTGCTGGTGCCGCGTCTGTTGAATCCGGTGTTGTTCAATATCAAACCTCTGTTCGGTTAGTATTTCTAGTTTAATCTTCTCCATTGTTCGTAAATTCGCTAAGTAAACGGTGTGATTATATTAGTATCGAGCGAGTACGGGCAGGGACAATGGATTTGCTCGCCACTTCCTACGTGTTCCGATAGAAACGCAAGCGAGAACACCACGTCTAAGCTTAAACTGGGCAGGCGCGCTCAAGTTTCTGACGACACCAGCTAGACAAGGTAGGGAACGGACTGTCGACAGACAACAGTCGTTGCCATTGGTTAAGTACATACCCCATTGTATTAGCTCGAATGTATTTATCTTACCTTCTTTCTCTTAAGTATGCAAATAAGCAGAGGCCTTACGAAGGCTCAAACGGAAAATGTGTTTTACGATTTCTACTCGATAAGAGCGTGGGCAATAAAATGGATATCGTGGTGACGCGTAAAATGAGCAGGCACTAGGAACCGTTATATGTGAGCAATCGAATAGATACGACGAAAGGTGTGTTGTCGACGACCCATGCTTTCAGCCCTTCTTTTTTGCTTTGGCAAATCACTTACATTGTGAATATCTCGTAGTTACTTGCATCAATTTTCCACTGAGTCCGTGCTGAGTTAAACGCTAAGCCTCAATTGAGGAAGACTTAGAAGGCTAGCGAAATTGTCGGTAAGGTATAGCTCCCAACCTCGCCCGGAGCTCGCCCTATCTGATTTTTGTTCGACCGATGGCGCTAACAAGTATACCTCAGGAAGTCTGTCTGTAGGGAACTAGCAAACTTTCATGAACTTTTATGGAGTTGGTGCAACGAAAAATCAAGGGATCGCCCAGGGGCCAACAAAAGTAGAAGAGGATTAACAGAGAACAAAGTAATTTCACTATTCAGTGGTTAGCAAGTTGAGTAAGCAGATGTGAGTGAAGCTATCGATTTCTTGTAGCTGCTTCTGCAATTGCCATGCAAGACGATCTGACATGACAGCGACAGCAGTGCGGTAGTGCTGGAACATCTGAAAACCTGAGCGATCACACGAACCTGGACTACATTCGGAGCTCTCAAAAATTTGTCCCCCTACCCCCTTTGATTCGTGCTCCCGAGGCTGCGGGTCTTAATGACCTCTGACTTGTCTTTGCTCATCCATCCCCCCCCCCCCCCCCCCCCACCTCACAGAAGCTAATAGAGTCTGACCATTAAAGAAAATTCTTTTTATGTGAACCAAATGACAAAAAAATGAGACCAACTTAATTAAAGGTGCCCTACCTGTTCTGTATGACCATTGTTAAACTACACCTCTGCCTACTTTGAGTGACATCCCGCAGAGCGTCACATGACAAATAACCCATTTTTCAGTAACGGTTACGCACTAGAGCCAATAAGCAGTATAACTGACTATGATTTTCATTATAATGATACTATCAATAATCTTTTCTTTATTACACTATCTCTAAATATTGAGCTTACGATCGTAGATTTTTATTGACTGAAGTTTGCAATTAGTATAATTTGATAGTTTTGCAGTTAATTTCCTGGCTGGCAACACAGCAAATGTTTTTTGCTTTTTTTCGGTGATTTGTCTACTGTAGTAAGCATTTTTGACTGACAAAATTTTTGCATCCGCTAAAACAGGTCACTTGAAGTGATTAAAATTGATTCCTTTCGTCCTATTTCAGGCCCTCGACGGTGTTGTTGGGAGCAAGGAGTCTGATTTGTCGAGTATGGGCTCGAAGGATGAAAACCCACCAGGTAGTTCCATTATTGCCGATGCTGCTGATGAGACCTGTGAGGGTCTTCACTTGCTCCTGACAAATCAATTCACCGCCGCGATGGACAAAATGCGGCCGAAGTAAGTTCAAGATGGGACCGATGTCAGCCAGAAATGAAGTCGATGCTCATGTTAATCTGCTCGATTAGTATTTGACTCAAACAAGGAGCTTGTGCATGCAACTACTAATCGAAGTGTGTATATGTAATACTGGCATTCATTAATCCACTTCGCTTTTTTTCTAACTTTATTCTTAAACCGTTACAAGATGTAGATATTCTTTTTGCCTTCGATCTTGTTATCTTATACAATCTTTTTCATTTTATCTCACATCATTATTACAAGTTAGATATAGAGTAAAAATCGTATTTCTTGATATGAAGTCAGCCTTACTGCAAGCGAAAGAGGAAACTATCCTACGTTGTTCAGTATGGCTCGGTGGCATCCGATACAGAGATTTCTTTGTCACGTTGTCCAGCTTCAGTGTGTATACGTTCAACACGCATAGTATTTACTACTAGTTTGCTAATCAGCTCTTTTTTATACTACCACTACTACTGCATATCAGAGAACTGAAGGTCGCTAACGTTTTGTCGCTTCGGCAACCCGGACCGCCCTTGTCGTCCAACCCAAATATATCCTTGCCTGTGAGTAACTGCTTACACTGAATAGAACCCTTTTTTCTCTTGCGTTCGTCCGCTTGATTCATCGTCGGTAGCGCTATCGCGACGGGCTTTCTTTTTTGTTAGAAGTTTCACTACAGCAAATTGCTGCTCATACAGAACGTGCAAAAAGGCTATGACGGGCTTGGGGCCATGGGCCTGTACGGGCTGAGTCTTGCGGCCGCCAACTAAAAAGGACCAAACATCTGTGTTCCTTTGCTGGCCGATAAGCGTTTTCAAATAGCCACCCACGATGGTCTTTCTACCAGCCTCCGTTTCGCTGCGACGAAGGGGAGTCCGATGTCGAGCGACAGTGAGAAGTTTTACATAACAGACGTTGCTCGGAGAGTGGAAGAGTTCGAAAGGCAGCGAGGGCTGGCTTAAAGTAAATTCAGTTCCATGGGACTGATCTATAGCTGAAATAGGAGGCGGGCTGTACAAAAGAAGCGTCGCGACCCTTGGAACTATCAGTGCCCTACTACCAGGCAGAGGTTACTGAAGCCATGACGGAGCGAATCGTAACAGGCCGATTATCACCTCTAAGACGTATAGCCGTTGCAGCCGGGTTTCAGACAAAGGTGGGCAAACAAACGCAGGCCAGAATGCACATAAAGACACACTTTAGCACTGGACAACGTATCCTCGCGAAAGCTGTATCCAAGCTTTCTACCGTTTGCAATGTCCTGCAGCTCAGCTACTCGAAAAGTATGTCGACAAGCAACGCCAAGAGGCTATGCAGTTGTGGGGTTACAGCGACATTTGCAGTACTACCAGCATTAGCAGCAGCAGCGCTTCAGAAGAGGATGTGTCGCTAGCAAGTTGCCAAGCAAGTGTTTACAAGCCGCTGATGCGAGGCATTGGTAGCCAGGATATGGTACCAATGCCCCGCATACCTGAACAGTTTTGACTGAGCAGGTCGAAACAGTTACCGGCACAGATTTAACAGGGCTTGTTCAGCACCGGTGCTGCTTGGACCAGCAATCTCATCTTGCACCAATAAAAAAGCCTCCATCAGCGCCGTTGAATCAGAATTTGCTCGAAACCGGGCCTATACGCATGTGTATGGAAAAGATGCGAAAAAAGTATAAAAGGGCATAAATAAGAACTAGTAAATAGCAGAAAGACAAAGCGGGGTTTTTGGGGGACTACAGCAGGCAGAGTTCGAGGATGAAATCAATGAAACGGCTGGATGGTTCGATAGATGGACATTGGGTAGAAAAAAAGGCAAAGATAAGCCACAGATGTGTCTGAGTAGTAAACCGCGTAGCAGCACAAGTGCGTTTAGTGTTTGATAATGGCAAATTAATTTGTTAACTTGATGTTCGTCAGGATACCAGCTTGCTTTCGGTGTTGCCCTATGGCAGCAACGGCTGTGTTCTTTCGGCTTTCCTTCTCATAGTTCTCTTGCGTCTTTCTTTCATGCAAGCACCCCGTCAAAAGCTTTGCGGAGCGTCCGCCTCCCTAAAACTGAGGCCCATTTCAATCCCAGTTCCGTGCGGGGTCCCAGCACTCGCAATCCTTCTGCTCAAGCTTCACTTGCTATACCATCTGACCGTGTGTGCTCGTCTTTTTTCATTTTCCTTTGCCGAGACCGTTTTATTTACTACCATCCCGCCGAGCAAACGGACCGTCGGACAAACGAATAGACGCACAGACGAATGAGCAGGATTAACGCTCCGAAATGCATAGTAAGCTGGCCGAATGCCGCAGTCTACAGCCAGACCGTTGACTACTTTCTATTATTCGGAACGTACTTCATAACATCTTGGACTTCTCTCTTTCACCATAACTGTCAGCAGTCACTAAAAACCCCAGTCCTTCCCTTTTCTTCTTCTACTATCCTTTTTTTCGCACTCAGCCATGGTTAGCGACGTTGCATTATAAGTTGTTAATTTAAGCCATTTTTCCTTAAGTTATCGGAGATGCAAGTTAAAAGCGTGCTATGATAAAGATGGGCTAGCTGTCTCTCCACTTATTTTCTCTAATGGAAATATTATTAAATATGGCGATTCGCTACCTGCGCGACAAGCATTTTGCTGAACCGTCTCAGCTTTGCTGTTACTATTGTTACTACCAGAAACCGTGGATAATCTCCGCCCAAACAAATGTTCATTGGCAAATTACTTTGTGCTTCATTCTCTTTTTACCTTTTCGTTCGTGAACTGAAAAAGATTGTGCGCCGACCGCACACAAAAGATATATGAGATCTTATAGAGACTCAAAGGTCAATTTGCCGGTCTGCATAACCGTAGTGTATGCGTATCTTTCTCCGATGTAGAACGGGGACGTCAGCATGACGTCGTAGCGCGAGCTACTGTACAGCGACGTAACGTGCTTACATGCGCTTGATATAGTTGCATGTATGTACAATTCTCGTTTGGCCTCTTGCGTAGTTGTTGTTTAAGAATATAAGTAAAGATGGCGGCAAAATGTCCTTACATTAAAGCGGAAGTTGACAGGACCATGTAAATCAAGGTGTTAATAAAAAAAATTTTTTCTTCACATACATAAACACTTATTCATAATTATACATGTAACATAAATACGACTACAAGGGTGAGCGTACGCAAACGGCCCAAATAAGTGGAGGGAACAACGATTAAAAGTGATTATATACCGCTCAATTGGGCTACCGGAAACATAGCCTATTAGTAGAGTTTTTTCATTAATTTTTTTCTGGCGTGCCTATAAGCGTGAGCGGAGCATTCATTGTTCAACTGGTATTATGCGGCAGATCTATAGAAACAAATATCTATAGATGAACTTACTTATGTCAGCTACAGTGTATTAGTTGCAGTGCATGTATGTACATACACTTCATCTTGTGTTTCCTACACTGCGTGGATCGAAACAGGGTGCCTTTGACATCAGTGGTAACCCTTGGTGTGGCATAATGGTACAAGTGGCCAATGACGATGCCGCATACTGTCGGGCCGCAACCATCGTCGATAAACAGACGACGTAAGACGCTAGTACCAAACACAGGAGGCACGTAGACGTCGCAATTGGGCACCATGGCCTATAGAACTGGCGTTTGTTCGGCGAAGCAGAACTGACAGAGACGATCTGAGCTTAGCAGTAAATAAATCTCTGGGCTGCTCCTGTTCCCTTATATGTTCAGGCGTATCCTGTGGCTTGGCTGCCCGCATACGCTGCTTTTTCGTCTCTATCATATTAGGAGCGCAAACAAAGATGTTCGCCAGAAAGGACACTTCCGTGGTGGCTCTTCTCACTGAGCCGCTTGCTCTATGTGTGTTCTGTCTTTCTTGCTTCTTCCTCCACTTCTCCAAATGTGCCTTCCTGTAGCCTCACACATTCTACGCCGTGTTAAAGTAAACACATGCGTCCAGGATGAATGCTAATACTAATATTACTGTTACTAGCCCCCTTGTTTCGGCATAGATGTGGGCGCTGCATCTCCTCATCACAGTGTCTAAGAGAGGCTGGTTGTGGAAGTACTATCTATGCAAGCTCTGCAAGACGCTTTGAGATCCAGAGAGTCGTGATGCTACGGTCGCTGGCACACACTCCTTGCTCACCCCATTTACTGTTATCGGGTTACTATTTAACGAGATGTATTCCAGGACCGTGCTTTATGGCTGGACTGGAGGCGCGCGACGTCCCTTGAGGGTGGCTTAAGCATTTGGCAGAAGTAAGGCCTTCGCTGGCATCAAAGAACAGAGCAGCAGCCAGCGCTAGTGCTAATGCAAGGACGATATGCAATATGCCCAGTTAGCCCAGTGAGATGCAGTCTAGGACGCCTAGCTCGGATGCATAGCGACCTTCTTAAAGTGTATGACGCCGGGAATACGCCAAAGGCTCTCTCGGGATCAAGAGCAAGCGTAATTTTGGTAAGCGTAGAAAGTAATTTGCGGTCGTTGGCTTTTTCCCTTTCTCTCATTCAATCTTTTGGCGTATTTTGATCCACTCTATGAAGTTGCCGCCAAACTAAAGAGTGGTTGTAACAAGTCGCCTATAATATTCGCGTATACTTAAGGCAAAAAAAGAACGTTACAAACACAATGAAAGGGTTTAGAAGAGATCAGAGGAGTCGATGAAGCTTCATTCATCAAATAGCGCTTGACCCGCGGGGATCGCTGCGTTGCTAGCTGTGGCGTTTTAAAAGAACGCAGTTAATACGTCAATAGCACGCATTGGCAGGCATTGCTACTGAGACAAAAAAAAAAAGGAAAAAAGGTCAAAAAGCGAAGGTGATCATCCACCTGCCGCCAATCCATATCCTGATACTGCGACCTCGGCCACTTCGGTGCGCTGCTACTGCTGCTGTTGCTATATTTTGCTCTTATAGGGTTACACCACACCTTATGACTAGCTGGTGCTGAGGAGAATTGTGTCCAATAGCTGGAACAGGTAGCGTCATTACCGAACCCAAGAGATGAGAGTCATTAGACTTCCCCAGCGTTTACCTGTGCAACCTTGGCAAACGATTCCTAGAAATCAGTCGGAGACGTAAATTACTGAGAATGAATACACTGCAGAGAACGCTTCTTTTCTATTCAATATGACCTGGACCTTTCTCGTCCGGCCCTCTTCCCTGGTGTGTCATTATAACCTGATGTATGGGTTCAAAGTTAGCTGCCCAACTCGTCTAAAGTTCAGAATAGATAGTTTAGGCCCAGAAAAATATGAGCATAAAGGCAAACACCACGTACACGCTAGACGTCTACGTTCAACTCTTGATAAACTGAGCGGTCGACCCCATCAGTCTGCACATCATACTATTCGAACACTTTGTTGTGTCGGACGCCAACGCGCAAAAGGCCTCGGGTCTTTTAGGGATCGTTGTCTACAGAAAAAAAAACAGACCATTCTGCCCCGCACATTACGACTGACCTAACCCTCATAATGCCCGTATCAGTACAACGTCAGTGCAGCGCGAGTTATCGAACAGTGGTCGCTTCAAACACAAGCCTATCGTTCCTACGAATTCTTAAGCGACTCTTTAGACAATCCGAATAACTAGAACGGATCCGATCAGACATGTGCAAGATACCCATTTTCTACTTACGGTCTGCATAGTTCCTCTCCTTGTCCGTATCTTACAACCACTTCTACTTGGCATGGGTCTACGACCACCTCTTTTTCGGTCAGTTAGGAAAGTAGCAGAAGTTTCCGATAACTCAACCTACTCCTGACATATCCGTTATCTGAGCTCAAGTAGGTAAAAGGCTTATTCGAACAAATTGCTTATTATTCTCTTGCTTAGCTGAGTAACGGTTATCTTGAGTGTCCAGTTTTACTTACGCATGCCCCTTCAGGACAATGAGCCGTAAAATTTTGAGCAAATTTACTTGAGACAGTTGTCAACTTTTTTTTTTATCAATGAATACTCAGTGTTCTACGATTTACTGTGCCAGTCAGTACAGGCACAATTGTCGTCAAACAATTAGGCACGCTTATGATAAACGTTAAGTGTGTAACTGATCTGAAGCTTAAAAGCCTAAAATCAAGTTAAGGCACGAAATATAGATAACGGGTAACGACGGCTGCGCTAACATATTGTGCGTAGCCTTTTTATGGACGTTTCTGATATTGTTCCTATTGAATACTCGCACCTTGGTCCCATTAGCGGGCAGCCATTTGAGTTTAGCAAATCCTTTTCTAGTGCAAATCGTATCCGGTGCTGTATATATTCGCACGTCAAGTATCCTATGCGATGCAATGACGCTATTGTTTGTCAACGCTTCCCTATGACGCCATTTGCAAAATAAAACCTATCCGTGAGAGTTGAGAAAATCTCGGTTGTTAATTAGGCTAATCTGTAGTTTTTTGTCTGCTGTATGTTGTAGGGCGCACGAGAGCATCTACCACGCACTGGGTCAGTCGACTATCATGTTCATGCAAGCTGTCCTTACCTTGGACATGGTAAGTACGACAAGCCTTTATTGAACACTTACTATTTTAGAGTTCGTTCTCTTTAACTAAATAACATTCAAAGCGATTCACGGTCGAATTTTAGCTTCGAAATGTAAACAGCGTTGCTACAATTCGGCAAGATATATTGTAGGAGAGAACATTTGCGCGTGCGTGAGGACCCTTGCTAGACAGGCTCGTAAACACAAGTTTAGGCCATAACGCATGTTAGGACGATAACTGTCCAATACTTCGAATATTATGTTATCGTAGTCTGTCATAATCTATCTAGCCAAACAGCATCCGAAAAACTAGTCGATGATAATCACACAATGAAAGGGGTGCTACCACCTCTGAGGCCCGGCGCCTTTTATAAGTTCGATCGAGCTCAAATAAACTATAACAGGTTTCTTTTTTAGCTTCCACATATACGCACTTAGATGGATATAAATACTTCTCTCTATCTGCTTCATTTTCACAATATGCACATCCATTAGTTAACCAGAAACGGAATTATGATAATCATTGGAAAACGTCTTTTTCATTTTACGCAAAAACGTGTAATTGTACAGAGTATCTGTCTGCAGTTGTATCGCCGCCATAATAATCCTGTCTAAAATACTGATGTTGAGAAATTTCAGCCGTCATTCCATTGTTATCAACTTAGAGCGGTAATTTTTAGTCTGCTTATCGACCAGAGGTGTGGTATCGCACTCGCGTAAGTTGCGTTTAACACGTACCAAGTTCCTTGTCTTTAGGCTTTCTCGCTGGTGCCTCCGCAGTCGTCCAGTCCTTAAGGCTGGAACTGTTCAGGATATGAAGCGATAAACCTAAAGAGGTTTAGCGCTTCATATCCTGCTATGATCCTATCGAATCTATAATCTATCATTGGCGAGACATGCGGCTAGTACCAAATAGTGGCAGAAACACAACAACCACTAGCAGCAGTATACCATATAATGTATACACATATGGACGAAAGAATTGCGAAACTTTAGTAAGAAAAAAAAAACGCTTATTATTCGAGTTTCATAAAGGAGGTGGTCGGCAGCATTTTGCTTATAGGGGCGTCAATCGCAGCGAACGATGTTATACTACGGGCGGTAGCGTCGAATCTGATCTACTTTAGACCCTAGAGGTCTTGCTGATATTGAAGTTAAAATAAAATCAAGACCGCTCGTACCGATGGTACGAGCTACTATGGATCAAAGCGAGACGGCAGGCATACCTTGCTGGCCTTACGAAAAATCCTTTTTTAAATTTCTCAATCGAATTGCGCACAGATTAACTAGTGCCGTTGTTGAGACGTACGAAGGAAATCAGTCAATGTATTGCGGTGAAGTATGGCAGTATGGATGGTATAGGGGCTCAGCTGAGACCGAATGGCCTCTCTACGGGAACTATCGTGAGGGGTCATTCAGTTACCATGTTTTCGAATGTTGAAATCTGCAGCAGCAATAGCTGTTGCTGCTGGTACTTGGACAGCCATATATAGCGAAGTAAACGGTATCAATGGGCTCATTACCTGCTTAGCGAACACAATGCAAGAAAGAGAACTGTTCTCTCTGTCTAAAAAAGCGACGACCTAAGGCTAATCATTTGCCTCCCGGCCTTTTTCCTTGTCAAAGAAACAACACCAGAGAGGCAAAATGGTACTCTTTGCAATCGACCCCCACTGTAGAGGGTATTTGAATACAAAACAGAAACAGACAGGTAGAGAGCAATGAATATATGTAATAAGGGAGCAGTACGTGCATACATGTCGTTCTAAAAGCTTACATAACGCTCACAATATTGATATACAATACTTCAAAGAATTGAGATTCCAGGCAACCGTACTTCACTGTCTAGGGCAAAAAAGGACAAATTGTCAAACAACACTTTCACGTTTTATGTTGTATTTTTTTTATCATCGATATTTTGACACTTTTTCAAATTAGGTTTTATTAACAGAAACGTTAACGGTGTCCACAGATATCGCCTCCGCTTGATCCTAGCAAAGAAATCTTTTCATACCGCGAAGCATTAGATTGTTCGATCATAGAGAGACACGTTGAATCACACCAACATATAGAATAATACTGATGTGAGTTTGTCTGTGCATAGCCACTAGCCTCTTTCCATTTACAATTAAGTAAACAGCTTCTACGACGCGGTGACTCCCGCTGCCGGCGTGCGAGTTCTCCCGAAAAGACAGCCGTGAAATATAGATCCTTATTCCACTATGTAAATGCACAGATGGCACGCAACTAGGCACCCATGTAACTAAGGGTCCCTAAGATTGTTCGCCGTTGACAGTAGAGAAGAGGTCATCGCGCGGCTTATAGAGGGTCCAATCCGAGGAATCCACCTGTGCTTTTTCTATCTTCTGGTTTATTTCCATTCGGCTGCGGTGTCTCCACTGCGAAGCTCTCCTCACTCGACGAAGCAAAGTTAGGATATTCGCGCTTCGTTGCATTGAGTACCGGCCTTTGGCGCCTTGATCCGTCCCATGCTGATTTCCACTGAAGCCAAAGTATCGAGTAGCTGCAGAGAAGGTACGTACACTAGAAATAGTGTAAACGTCAGTGAGGATCGGGTTTCCTTAAGCATCACAAGGACCTCATCAGGAAAGCGTGTCCGTTCTTCCAATCAGCGCGATTCCAACGACGATTCTTGCCCGTGTCTATCCAACCCAACCGAGTCGAATAATGGCTCAGCTGGCCAGAATGCGGTCAATGGTGTTGTTGTTGTTGTTCGTCGACCAAAATCCTATTTCCCCTCTTATTATGATGCCGCTCAAAGCTTTGAGGGCTGGAACAGAAGGCCAGAACGGTTACTTTCGCTACACGGAAGCTGGATAGCTGTTTCTTCTTGCTAGTCTCGTTACTGCAGCGTTCTCCCCGACGGAGTTTAGCGCCGCTAAATTACTGTCTACACCAGCCTGACATAACGGTACAGAGACGAACGGGCTAATACGAAAACAAAATGCTAGACAACAATGAATCCGCCAAGTAAATTAAATAGCTTAGTTATTTAACTTTTATCTCTATTGTACGATCATGTGGCAAACGTCGAACATTGGTACGCCACTTGTATTTGATATTATTATCAAGATTACTATTTAATAGTTATATGTTCTTCTTTAATCACTAGTTTATCTGGTCGTGATTAAAATCCAAAGCGAACAGTATGCCGGAATGATGAATAAAAATCTTAGCAAATATTTTGCTCCCGATAAGTTTGGCCATAGGCTACATGTATCCTGCGAACCGCGTAATACCACGAAACTTCTTGTAAGAAAGCTGTTCCTTCCCGTCCGCCTGCGTACAAAAGGTATCTGGTCCATCTAAACTTCCCTGCTACTTCAGGTGAAGTGCGCCGAATGGAGTCTGCCAGATATATTTAGTACGGGAGCATTAAATACCGACCGTTGTTTATACGCTTTCATGTAATGCAGCTGTTACTGCATAGGGCGAGATTAAAACGCCTCATAGAGTGTTTCATACCGTAGGGAATATATGTGTGCTGTATTGTGAGCTTTTATAGGCCAATTTTGAGGAATGGCGTCTAACACCCTAATAGAATCAAGTTAGGTTGTCAGCGGAAATTTTCCCTGCTCACAGCTATGACAGTTTTTCGTCTAATGTCCAAATCAGATATTTTTGGTATAACCATACTAGGTTCGCACCTTGCCAATGATTTTTCAGCTACTGCAATAACGTCAAGATATGTTAATTACGTTTGTATGTCTGCTGAAAGCACCGCAAACAAGCACGGCTAACCAATTTAGGCCAAATGTATAGTAAGTTTCCTGTCCTACTACTTCAAGTGCGCTTGAAGTTTTTGAAAACGAAGAGGTTTTTCGACCCACCTATCCTGCCATATGTCATTAGCCTGTTAGATTCAGCAGCAACCAGTTTCAACGTATTTCAGAAGAACGAACCCATTGATAGGTAGGAATGACAAAGAGTTAAAGTATATAGTACATATTCGGAAGCGCCTCTTGGTTCCGGCGGGTCCTCGAAAAAATTGTCTCGACTTGTTGGGTGAAACCCGCAAGGTACTTAATGGCTCTAGACACAAACACGATCGTAACTTGCAGTCAGTTTTTCTCATTCGGGTCCTCGTATGTTAAACCGCTTATCATCGACAATATAGCGACATTTCCTCCCGAGCCACTCAGCTTCACTGACCATTGAGTCATTGATTTCGATAAGCGGATCATATCGTGCAACAGCGAAAATTAGAAAGTTAACGTTGAGGAAACTTTTTTACAATATGTGTTTTATAATAATAAAGTAAAGAATAATAACAGGTCGTTATCAAGTACAAGCTACAAGTGCGCTTTTCGCAAGAAGTGAAAACGTGTAGAAAGTTTAAAATTCCGTTATAGATTATGCCCCGCAATCTACTCATATAACAGCCGTAATCAACGAGCTTTATTTGTCCGTTTTGATGTCTGCCCTCGGTGCCGAACGCAGTTGAGTCAAATCAAATAAGCCTACAAAACGCTGGTCTGAGTATTACGAGAAATACGGTGCTTCATGCAACGCACAACTACATTGTGTTCCGTAGAGCTCGGTACATCTGCGTCGCTAATATTCGTAAAATCACATCATAGCGTTCGTGGCTATTGGCGGCTAATTTTGCTTCCAAATCAATGCTTTCTTCTCACGGCTATTCATAGCACTGCTGACACAGTAAACGCGCGCCCCTGCTCTTATCTAATTTCTGCGTGTGTTCGACGTTCCCCAGAAAAACTAAGTTAAAAATTCAGGTTGTTTAGTGTGAAATCTGTGCTAGGAAACACGGCAAGCTCGATGTTGTACTAGGTGTCTACAGATTAGGAAGCTGATAGAGCGAGACCAGGCGTGAGTAAGATAGGTACGTGCGGTATTTTTCCCCTAAGGCCGACTTCCCTTGTAGGATATGGCCTTCGAGTTCAGTTAAACTAACGTGCATATGACATATTTAGCATTGAGTGTCTTGCTTCGTCGTTGTTTTTAATCCTGAGCAAAGGACGAAGGCCTGCTGCTAGGACGTACAGTTGCGACATGTCTATTTTAGTCACTGCGTATTCGCTAAGATTAGTCGGTCACGGGCAGTGGGGATCAAACAGTGACGTGGACGATATCGTAGACGGGGAGCCCGATGCCACCGTACACGGACGTATGTGAAAGTGAGGAAAAAGGCCGGAAAAGGCGAAGACGGCCAGACCGAGATTACAAAACGCGTTCCACGAAGCAAGCGATCCGCAAAGATCAGTTCTCTTTGGGTGCTTTCCACTACTATGTTATTGCGTTGGGCGAGCTAAAGCAGCATAGGTTCGATGGTAGGTTAAGCGATATGATGTCCCTATGACCGTATCGCTGCGTTTAGACAGAAAAATGTGGATCGGACGAACTGTCAATATTTAATATAAATGCATAGACTGCTAATATCGACTGATAAATTTCTTAAAAGTAAAGATTTTGAACACAAAGCACGTTGCGTTAATACGTACCGTACTCTGTTCGCCGAAGTGCTCACTCTACATTGTTTTCTTTTTTTTGCACATTAGCTCTGTCTCACAAATGTGGAACTTTCGTGATCACGTGACAAGATGTGCTGCGTATCGATAGAAATCAGAACTTGGCATGTGTAGAAATATATTGATGAGGTTATGTTGTGTTCCTGAGGCAATTCGTAATCATATGGAGCATGTTTACGTTCTTAATTGGCGCTGTTTACGTCAGAATTTGTAACGTTATGAGGTCCTAAACGTATAGTAAATCATGGAAAATAACATGTAGGACAGAGACAAGGGTGTTACACATATATTTAGAAATCCGTGAAGTTATTAATAGCTATTCTTTATATTGTACTATTTTTCTGATAGCATTCAAGCGGTAGACGCATACACGTTCACCTGCCTGATAATAAAATTCATTCTGTGACAAGGTACCTTTCTTTCATGATTTTCGGACCAATCATGGCTAAGACTGAGTTGAATATCTATCGACTCTAAATATCAGTACATCTTATTAGCTCACCTGTGGACGAGGTTCAGTTTATGTGTTGTACATGGTGCAAACTCTCTTTATTTTCGCAGGCTGATATAAAGGCTGCCCAGGAAGCTATTCGGCAAGGGGTTGAAGTATGTCAGCGATTTCGTAGGCGCTCTAGTGCTGTGTACCGCATGCTCGTACGACCCGACTACAACAGTTATACTGCGGAAGAGCTGCATGCCGAACTTTGCTACGCTGAGTGCCTGCTCGAGAATGCCGTATTGACGTTCGTCGAGGACCAGTCGCTCGTGACGTTCATTAAGGGAGGACTCAAGATCCGTTCATGTTACCAGTCATATAAGTAAGTAACATTATCATCTTTCGTTTCATTCTTTCGCAAAACGTCATCACGAGCACGATCGTCGTGTATTTCCTCTGCTGACAGCATTCTAACTCGATTTCTATGTAAAAACATAATCTATATGCACATATATATATATACAGGCGATTAGTGATAGTCACACGAGGATCAGTGACAGCTACGATGCTGGGAAGAGTCTATTAAAGGCTCTAAACGGGCTTTTCAACGAGCTTTTTTCCTTTTGTGCCTCCTTTAAACAGGAGAGAGTTATGGATAAAAATTGGACAATAATCGGAGGCTGTTACTTGAGGAGCGTATTTTCACCAAAGTAGGCTTTGTTTTTATTTTCTGAAATAGTAGTTATTTATATCGTGTGAAAAAAGCCCTCGCTATTCTTCACTTATATTTAGAGGTTCGGCATCAAAAGCTTGTCTCCATTAGGAGTTTAATTCGAATGGGTTTTGCTGGACCTAGTTCCAACAGCCCTATGAAACAGCATGACGACGATAGAAGCGCCTGAAATTACTACCTCATCTTATTTGCGTATTTTTTCATTTGCTATTTTCCTAACTAGTTATATCTAATAGTAATTTTTGCCAACGCCGGCGTGGCCGCATGCCTGTTAGTTATCGTTACCATGGCAATACATTAAATGAGATGCGCATTAGCCACTCGAGCCAGACTGCGCTGTAGAGCTTCTTGCCGGATTTGTTCAAAACGATCTCAAGACCGTCGATTTCTGCAAGCAGTGTAGATATTGCGGTTAGATATGTAGAGGGGCGTAGGAAGCCCCTGTCATAGTGTACTATAATTGATATTCGTGACTTACGTTTGAGCCGTTCGAGAGTGGCACTCCAGCACGGCTGGTCGTGGAGACTAACGGTTACCTAAGCAATGACAGTCAGGTAAATTCAGTCGACTCATATACAAGTGAATACGACGAACGCGGTTGATACATGCCCTGACGTATGAGAAATATACCGTGTTCGCTGTAATGTATATATCAGTACGGCAGTGTATTTGATGCCGAGAAGAGACCACGTATGCACAGCGTATTTACGCATACGTCTGCACACGCCACTTTGTTATTGTTATATTACCCAAACGAATAACTGACTTGGTGGCCAGCCACTAAGCGAACCTCTTGCGGTACCAACTTTGCTCCGGTATTATGGCATTGCGATACCGAAGCAAACAATTACAAACTTACATATGAGTATAGACGTATACGTTTATGCACAGCAATGTAAGGGCGGAGACGTGAGAATGTATCTTTAACGACCGTAATATATTGCATGCCGTGGTCGCTCGGGCCAGCGTCTTCTTAGGTTGGCAACAACGTCTGCGGCCTCCAGGCCTATTTGCATTTAGCAGCAACTTTTCGAAATATCAGTTTTTCTGTGCTACCCCTGCCGGTTGTTTCCGCACTTTTTCTAATCTGTATCAACCCTGGAAAATACCGAAAGGTTGGAGAAGTTCGTTCGCACGCGAAACGATATGCCCACTGAACAAACTAGAAAACTGCTGTGAACATTTGGCGACGATTCTCCCACAATCTATTAGACCTTGCACCCGTTTTTCAAATGGACTCGCCCAGTCAAAAAGAAGCCGGCCGGGTTCTAAAGCTGTCACTGCTGTCGCCGCCGCCGCATCCGATTGGCTCTGTCGACCCAAAAGCTGTATGCAAACACTTATCAAGATTGCACCTACCATTTCTATTATAATAGTGCGAGACGCTTAGTACACCATGCGACACTCAATTACTCCTTCCGTGGAGACCTACCTTTAGTTCAGCGTAAGAAGCGGGGGGCTTTAGCTAATTGAAAAGTATTCCAACTCATCTCAACAGGGGGAAATCGAGGCGATTTTACCCTCGTGGCCCGGGGCCATCTGCGATTCGGACCTGTTCACGAATGCAGAGAAGAAAGCAGACGTAAACAGACAGCTGAAGATGAGTGCACGCTCACTGAACGCCTCCGATTTCCCTCGGCCAAACCTCGGTGCTACTTTTTCATTGGTTGCCCTGATTAGAACATCCCTGTGTTCCGAGTTTTACGTCCGTTATCGCCGTTAAGCATTACATCAGACGACTGGTTCTCAGCGTAAAACGAGGTGTGTTTATACCTGGCTTGGAATTTACACCTAGATTACCACGTGTCTCTAGGATTAGTAGGAAAAAAAAAAGAAACAACGTTAGAACACCCAAGGAAAACGACCCGTCCTGGCATATTTAGCGCGTTCACTTTTGTCCTATCTCTGCTATTAATCATGCGAGTTATTCTACGAAGGTTTTTTCACTTGCGTTTCTTTTTTTGAGGCTTTTGCCTCCTTGTGCCTCACGTCGCAACGTTAATACACATATATTACGTATTCTGATGCTCGATGCGCCCTGGTCTAATTTTGGAGAATATTGATAAACTACCACTACGAAGCAGAACGCTGATATTTCTATGGCGTTGTTGTCCGCCACTGGTTAGATCACTGAGCTGATTGCATTGATGACTGGAATGCAAAGCTTCTGTAGTCTATACGATTTCCGTGTCTGCTTTGTTGTTTTTCATACATACGCTGACGCCAACAAACACAGAAGCTGCGAGGTATATTTACGGCAAGGGAATTGCTAGACAACGCCGAAAAAATAAGATAATTTGGTTTTTTATGTCGGTTGCGATTTGGTGGCCATCGATAATAGGGGCAGGTTTAGTATCGCCGACAAGAAGCCAGAGAGGAAAGAGTAGAGAAAGCAAGAAATCTTGTTAAGCGAATCCACCAAACAGAAATAACGATCTATAAATAGCCAATAAGCGAGTTTATTACCGGTGTGTTAGCTAAATTGTAGACCGCGGACTTTAATAGTGCCAAGTGTAACGTACAAATAACATGCGTGGCGTCATCCAGTAACATGGAGTGGTTGAATCGGCGCTGCGTTTGAGGGGCTCTAATTGACATTTATACTACAATCTATGGCATCAGTATGTGTGTGGCTGTATGTAGGCCGGAAGAATTGTCAGGCACGAATTTGCTTTGGTCCCCATGATTGACGAGAACGGCACTCCGACGAGCTGCAGGCAGGTCTACACAACACGAAACGATAACCCTGGTAATGCCTTAAAAGTAGTTTTCCTCACAAAGAGCTACTACCTCAAGTATTTATGCTCGGATATGCTTGTGCTTGTCTACTATTGCCAAACAGACATGGAACGGCGGTACGAAAAAGGCATACATGTATACGATCCATTCCTTGAAGAACGTCGCACCTAATTAATGGATAAGAAATGATTTAGCGGCCAAGCTCAAGCTTGTGAACAGAGCGACTCGCCAAAACATGGAAACTGGATGGACTAGCTCGAAAGCTAATTAAAAACATAATTATTAGGCAGTATCCATGGCTTAAGTTCTGTTTACCTCAACCTGGGACAATTCTAGAGCAACGTTCTTCGGCACTGTGGATTACTGCAGTGCATTCCGCGCCGCCGCCTCGTCTTCTGAGCTCAGCTTGTTTAGCTACTCTTGATCGTTATCATAAGTTTTTCTGGTTGGGTCAGAAGTTGGGATAGCACAGCAGCTAGTAGATCTAGGTTCTTCTACCTCCCTCCAATAGGTCTGATTTCGCCACAACCTGAGTGGACATCGAAAAAAGCGCTATTCTGCTGCTCGATGTCCCCTAACCTACATAGGCGTTGAGTGAAGATCCATTATGTTGCTTGAGATTTCCCTGCAATTAGGCGGACACCGGGAGATACGTAGCAGTGGCTTTTGACTGCTACTGACCATGTCACAAAGCGCAGGGCCGGGCATAATCCGCCATTTTTTTGTCGATGACAGGATTCGCCTGCTAAAATCCGCCATTCGGCATCGCTTCCGTTACAGACATAATAGTTCACTCTCGTACGACCACTTGTAGATGCAGCGTTGCAGGAAACAGAAAACGGTCGGGCCGCTGCTGTTGTTCTTAACGTCGTTCGTTGCACTGCAGAATGTGAAACTTAGAGGCAGCCTCGCTATTGCGTCGAACAGTGTCATCGTCTTTTGTTTCTGGAGAAGAGAATTCGCTGCTGCTGCTGCTGCTGTTGTCTGCTAAATCGCTTTGGGCTGGTGGGATCTGGGGAGTACTTGGAAAAGCTCGTTAGAGGACTCACGTCTCAAAGACCGGTTTGCAAGCCTATAATAACGGCGGCGTACGACTGACAATGGAGCAAGTCCGATGGAATTTGAGTAGGTTGTTCTGAGTGAGTGCACGGACTATCCAGAGAAAGATAAAAAAAAAAAAACAAGCGTAAACATGGTTGAATGTCGGCGCAAATAGAGGGCCCGGCCAGCGACCTGTGCAGAAATTCCTGATTACTTCTGATAAGTCTGTGTACAATGCCAAAAGGCCATGTTGCAAAAGCAACAAGATAAGCAGTTTTGTCTGCTAGCACGAACTGTGGGATCGGGTCGACAGGATTACAAAGGCTGATATGGGACGGAAAAGATATTCGACTGCATCTGAGCCGTATGCCAACAGTATCTAGTGTAGCACAAATGACAACAAACCGTTGAAAAAAATCAATCGGAACTAACGAACATAGGAGGTGTTGTTTTCTAGCATAGTAATGTCAGGCCATATACATGTTTAGCTAGGTGAAAAAGGTTGAGAGAACTTAGATGGAAAATTTTGACCCCTCCGCGGTATAGCCCGGATCTTGAGTCATTAGACTATTATCTGTTTCAATCTCTGCAGAACTTTCCGAATTGCATTGGTCTCTTTTCAATGGAAAAGTGCAAGAATCACTTGGCAAAATTTTTTGCCACAGGGGTTATCTCTATAATGATAGCATTATGGTTTTAACAGAGAAATGACAAGGTGTTATCGATAAGAATGGCTCATATTTATTAACATTGTTTCAAACTATAAAGTACGTTTTTGCTTCAATTTTGACTTAAAGATAATCGATTCTTGTTTCGACACTCCGGCAAATAAGCGACTAGTATAAGCTTTATTAAAAAATATCACGTATTCATGTATTACTTGCATTATTGCTATATTAATTATAGGGAATGTATGCAAATGCTGGCAACGCGAAGTTGGGAGGATTCCCGTGAGAAACGGCACTTCGAGAGCGGCGTCCATATGGGAGTTGGAGCCTTCAATCTGGTAAGTTCCCGAACGCGTGTTTGCGAATCCCCTATTTCTTAGGCATAAACGTGCCAAACGTGTCAGGGTGTAACGCTGGATTATCCTGAACGGACCTCAAAACGCTGCCAGCTAGATACACTGTGAACAAGACGTCAAAATAGATATGTGAAATCGAAAACAAGGCACTTTCGACTGTTACAGGATTAAATAACGACCTAAATGATATTTCGCGGCAAATTATCTTGATTGTCGCGCGACGCTAGGCCTTTTTATTAGTCAAGAGCTCATAGTACTAACAAGAGGGCATAGCAACCTTAAAAGCAGCGCTTCTAGTGCTAATAAATTGCGGGGTGACAGATTGTCAACATCGATGACACCCCGAGAGTAGTTTGTTTATGCTATTTATGCGCGTAACAAATGCGCGGACTTGTCCTGCTGTGTTTGAAGTCACTTCGGTGTCCCGATCGACGTCCCCGTAAGCTCGATGTCATGGTTTGAAGCGATTAGAAACTTAGCGAACAGTTACTCAGAATACTCGCGAATATAACAAGGGTCAAATTATTATACGCTTACATCATAAATCGCTTGGGCAACAAAGTCTAAGATAAATAAAAATATATATTTCTCTAAGCGGCGCGTTCTCAATTGTTAAGGTACAAAACAAAGCAGTAGTTATGGCTAGTTGTTTCGCTATTCGCTGTTGTATTCCTATATGAACTGACTGTTTGATATTAGGAATCAGTATCAACGTAGTGGGCGTATTGGTTTTGTTGATTTTCCTTTTTTGTAGAACACCTCGAAGCTGTGTAGATTTTGGGTGATTTCTGTCAAAGTCACTCAGTTCTTTTTGAAATGGGTTAATTACATCGTAAAGGGCGGACACTAGCATTTCTCCAGAACTTATAGGGCCTAATGCTACTAAAAAAGTTTGATGACTTACGACTTAGGAAGAGGTTGAACGCTGTTAGCTGGAAGCAAAAGCTGTTTCTTTCTGCTGTGTCTGTTTTGCTTGCTTACTGTGGTTTCACACAAATCTTGCGATTCTTGTTTATCCTAGCACGCTGACCTCTGATGAGCTGATAATAACCGATTCTATATCCCTCAGAGATTGCTGTCGGATTTAGAGTATCCGGCTAAATTACGATGTGCTTTGGAATCGGAAAGCTCTGACAGTTTTCCCGGAGAGGACAAGGAAATGACAGAAATCCAAGAGCAAAACACAGCAGAGTAGAGAATTTCGCAGGACTCGTTCACAGTGTCCAGCTTACTCATATAGTCACTGGCTCCTAATAGATTTTTGCTCGTCGTCTGACACGACTATGACAGCATGCTATGACGGCACAGTTTTCTCTACCTACCTCCGGGATACTTGTGAGATATGATAAATCGCTTGCATGAAATGTACCGTCATTCTTCATCGTCGACAGGTGCCAAAAATAATTCGGGGTGTAATGATGTCGTGACGGCGTTATTTTCTAAAAAGAAGAGAGGGATAGTACAGTATTAGAAGACATTTCACGCTAACTGCGACCAAGTGGCAGGGATTATAAACAAGCAAAGAGAGAGAGAGAGAGAGAGAGAGAGAGGGGGGAGGGAGGGGGGGGTGAAATCCGTAAGCGTCACGTACGATCTGCGATATTTTCAAGTCGGCAGTCGGCGGAATATTTGTGCGGTGGACTAAAATGGCCTGAGTGATAAAGTGTTCAGTCACGGTCGTTACGGCGACGATATTGCAACACAGAGGGATTGTTATCGATGGCGGACTTTAAATTTAACTAGATTCAATCGCATTTTACTGGGCGATTACTGCAACTGTGTAAATCACTTATGATCCTTATCCTTAAATCACTTAAGATCCTGTGCGATAATTAGGACACATCGGTACTAACACTTTTGCTAGCAGATATGCAAAAAAACGCTAACAACTTATTAATTTACTAGTATCATTCTGTTGAATATCGATATATTTGCGTAGTATAAAGTATACCCGAACCGTGATGGCTCACTAATTGTATAATTAGCGATTTAGAACGACGTCGTAACTCATATTATATGAAAACATAATGTTGAATCAAATTGTATAATTAGCTTAAATGTATATATATATATGTTCATGCGCGTACACGGAACTTCGCAGTACTTGACGATGTCGCTTAATGAACGAGAAAGTTTTTGTATTTTGAGATACTGCCACTGTCACGAAATCCAGAACATGACTTAATGTACCGTTGTGTCCTGTTTCGATAATGATGTCTACGTAAATTCGGTTCTAAATCGTTAAAGATACATATATATTATATTATAGTAGTGTAGACACGTAATTCTATGCTAGTATGATTAGTAGATAGATAGATAGATGGTGAGTAGCTTGAAAAGCACAAAAGATGTAGCTCAAAAAAATGTTTAAATGCCTCGTAGCCCATAGAAATGACTTCCACTCTTTATCTAAACAGCTAATTATCAAGTGTTCATGGCTTGATCCGCATAAGATGCAAATCTGTGCGCATCTTCATATAGCATTGATACATGTAGCATCTACGTGTTATTGTAATAATACGTCGACCCCAACGTGCGTTTCTATCCGGCGTTTGTTGCTGGTTGATTTACCCCTTTACAATTGGCACTTGTCTGCTTCGTTCCCAGATGTTAGACCTTCTCCTGAACGTGAAACAACTACAACAAGCCATAAATAACGGAAAAGCACGTCCCCCACGCCATTGTATTTCCGTGCGCTCCGTCAATCGTTACAGGCAACTGCCTTAAAGAGGTCTTCCCTTAATTCCTGCCTAGGGTCGTCGTGTAGCAACGATACTGCCTACAAGAAAATGATCACGGTGTTGACGCACAATGGCGCTTCGTGACTAGCCTGAGTCCTTCCAGATCGTCCTTTCTTTGCTTGTTTGTTTTTGTTTTATCGTTGCATCTCTACGCCGCACGTTACCCTAGCGAATTTTCTTCTATACTGAACGAGACTTTAATCGGAATCGTTTTCGAGTGCAGCCGTTCCAACTCACTCTCTCGAGGTCCATCAGTCCAATTTTCATTCGTGCAATATTATCCGGTTAAAAGCGCGCGTAAAGCAGTTCCGAAGAACGACAACCAGCTGCTACTCTTCCTATTGTAAGTATTGTGTCCTTTGTCGATGATTCTTGTGCTCCTACTAAAAACGCTCCTTATGGCAAACATACGGGTAGAACAAAGCGGAAGTGATGCCAATACTCTTACGATAGGCATCACAATATTGAAGACGTGATCAGTGTCGACGACAAGCTCTCAGCCAGCTCCGATGGGAACAACGAGTGACGGCTCTCAATGGTAATGGCGCAGTCTTTGCCGACACCAGCAGCAACCGTAGAAGCCTATTGTTCGCCTTTGTTTTCCTACGATCCGCATGTCCGACTCTCTCTCACCAATGTATGTCTGTGTTCGTTGAGTACCTCTTATGCTACATGGTAAAGAAGAAAAAAGATATTCGCTATCGCTGGGCGGAATCAGTGGCGACAACGTCGATTGAGCGTCACAGAGCGTCGTCGATGCTGACTTTCGCCATATTACTGTATGTCAATGTTAGGTTGCGATGTATTCGCAAGCTTGGTAAGCTTAATATTCTAAGTACCGATCGTTATGTATGCCACTAGTACATCGCCAGCACTCACCAGCATCATCAACTCTTATAGCACGTCATGACGGGCGGGCGAAAGAGGAACTCAACAAAACAAATCAATTGCCGCCACCCTCTCGTCTCGGCTATAGCCAACCGTTAGCTAACATTCGTGAGCTGACGAGTTTACGCCGTTAATTTGGCTTCATTCCTCGCTCAAATACAACAAGACAACAAAGCCAGTTGCATTGTGCATCAGGTAAACGGTCAGGCAAGTTAAAGTAGCTGAATGAGAAAACCAAGCCGTCACCGGTGATTGACACAAATCGCCGACACTTTGCCTTAGAGCTTACCAGCTACTGTTTTCCCGAGCTGGGCACCAACATAAGGCAGATGATACGTACACACTATGTCAGTCATGATGCTGAAAAGGCGAAAAGGGCGTGTCTCTATTGCTACTACGGTTGTTCTAGACGTTGCCTCGGCCGCTACTTCATCACTTCATTTGTAACATGCATTGACGCGACAGTGGCGTTCAGGCGTTTCTACTACGGTCATGGAGACAGAGTTGAGGAACGAAAACAAGTACGTATCGCACATGTTCTCTCACAGAACACTCACCGTCGTCGCCTCCGTTCCCGAAATTCCTTTTGCCTTTTTCTACGATACTTTACTGAGCCTTCGTGGACTCGAAAGCCGCTGTGGTGTAGTCGATATCACTTCATTCCTATGATGAAAGCATGTTGTATTCGGCGTCACAACAGGCATGCCGAAACTTCGAACATATTCTTTGACCTTTTCGTTACCTTGTCTATCTCTGTCGTGCTCTGTCGATCACCTCTCCTGCGGTACCGTAATAGTAGTAACAGGACAAATTTTCATCGCGTGAGAAGTCGAATGATGCTGAGAAAGTATTGGCAGCTGCTTGGCTGCATAGGCAGTACCAGTAGGCTGTAAGCATTCTGTCCCCTTGGCAACAAATATCCTGCGGATGCCCCTGTAAAATTTAGTGACAAACAGAGATTACATCTGATAAGTGCGTGCATAGCAAAGAGCTATGAATAAGTAGCATAGATAAACGTCGAGCATAGCAGCTCCATTGTTTGATGTTTTTCCGTCGCTACCTTGGCTAGCAGTGCGCAGGATTGCCGAACTGCTATTGCTTATGAATGATAAGAATCGTTAAGTTATAATCAAACAACGAGGCGATCTGTTTGGCTAATAAATTCCAAGATACTTATACGAGATAGGTAACTTCACCGTTAAGTAAATGAAAATAAGAACTATGGACGTGACAAACACTTTACTGAGAACCTATCAGAGTTAATTTAACGCGATATACCCATAGTGTAGTCAGCCTATTGTATTTACGATCTATTATACAACCAAGGGTTAACAGGTGGCCATTTTTTTCTTTCAATTTGATTTAAGTAGAAATTTAGTAATTTCTACTTAATTTTTCCCATACCCATCGACTTCTAATAAAATGTGTCCTGTCATTTCTTTTGCTTTGCCATTGTGGCACATTTCAGATGATTTCTCAGCTGCCAACACGTATTCTGAAGCTGCTAGAGTTCATCGGCTTCTCAGGGAATAAGCAACTCGGACTACAAGAGCTCGAGATCGGTTGCCGCCAATGGGACACGTTGCGCGGTCCTCTTTGTAGTATTGTCCTAATTACCTACCATACTTTCATCCTTTTTATCCTCGGTACGTATACTTATACCTTTCACATTCTTGCCTATGCAATATACAAAAGGAGAAAGCTAACAAAGTAACGTAATAACATAATAATATACGCAGCAGGAATTATTCCTATTGTCTAAAACTTCTTCTCACGTTTAGCAGACGCCGCGCAACATTTGATGTTTTCTCTATCGCCATCACACGTGAGCCGTATCTGAGCAGATCCTTTTCGTCGTAGAATATTAGAATGAGTAAATTAAAAAACAACAACTTGACGACCATCCACATCCCTCAAGATGTAACCATCATCGCTAGCGCTTCGCCCGGATGTTTTCGATTGTATACTCCAACGTCCTTAGCTGCCCCTACCTAATCGGCATGTCCCAGTCTATTTGATTGTGACGTCTTATATTCCTGTTTTCTTCTTCGAGATTTTCTGAAAATTCCTCTGTTACTGTTCAATTCGTTCCAGCTATCGTCTCGTTTTTACGACTGCCGTCAATGTCTCCAACGTGCCATTGTTCGTATGCTGAGTCTTCCCCTATCGTTCGGGCTAGGCCAGATGTTTTCGTCGTTTCCCGGATCTACCTCTAAAGATACGAATCGCCCCCCACCGCCAAGTTAGCTCCACTCGATTCGACTTAGCATAGGCGATATCGCTATCATTATTGTGCCCATTTTCCATTCCCCGGGTTCTCGACTACGGACATATAACGACGCCCACGATGACAAACAATGCAGCAGTAGCAGCCGGAATGACGGCGAAGCCAGTTCCTCGCTTAAAGACGAGTGCACACTCGAACGACAAAGTGATCAGTAGGCGTATGTGCTTTTTCGCGGTTTTCGTTGCAGGTTGCTTGTTGTTAGTAGCTTGTCGTTGCTAGTGGCTGGCGGTTATTTTGGCTGAAGTCGTTAGCTGACGGGCTGCGCGGATACAATGAATGGCTACAGTGATGCACAAAGGCTAAGGACCTTTTCGATTCGGCCGATGGTCGGTTGGTCGCCTTTTGTTAAGGACAAAGGCAGATGAAAGGAATGTTGAGAGTAGGAGTATCAATGGTCCGACGGGGGTCAGACAATAGGTGAATGGCAAAGACAGCTATTGCAGCGAAACGTTTAACGGTTGACGTTGAGTTAATGCATAAATGTACTCCGAAGCAGATGCCAAGTGGAACGGGTGCGAAAACTTCGGAGGATCGACCCCGATCAAAATAATCTGACAACAACGATTATCAGAATGATATCGATCATGCCTACCATGTGTGGGTTGAAAGTGTTGTATTGCTACAGAGGCAATACGCCTAAGAGTAGACTTTCTCGGAGTATTAAGAAGAAAGGATTAGAACAAATGAATAGAAAACGTGTACCAGCAGAAATAGTCACAGTTAAAAAAAAAATTGCATGAAGCTACTACATTTAAAGCAAGGGACAAAATTTTATAGTGTTTATAAGGTTAATTGAAGTTTTCTATTTTTGAGCATTGATTGCCTCGTTTCGCGTATCACGTATATTTTTTCAGTCGAGCAAGAAGATTTCAAAATCGAATAGATTAAATATTAACCGAAAACGGCATAAAAAATATATGAAGTTGGGAAAGCTTTCATGGTGTGAAATGAACGGCGGGGCTAGACTTCGTGGTCGAACAGAAGCGCCAGTTCTATTTTTGTTAGCTGTACGTTTGCGCTACACTCTGGCCTATCCGATGCATACGCTATCGTGCATCCTATAAATTATGCATGAATATTAGCGCCACTATCGTGTGGCTAGTCACCGCATCCTGAAACGTTATCATCTTTCCGCACGAAGACAGCTTGTGCTCTGTGTGACGTTGACGCGGTGCAGTTCAGTGTAGTATCTCATTTTATTGATGTAAGCAATTACGGTTTCATATACGATAGCTCATTTATTAGTTCATGTAATCGGTCTGTTCCGCTTACAGGTAGATTAATATTGAAAATTTAAATAAGACGCAACAATGTAATTGACATAGTCTAGATGAGATTATGCTTTTTATCCCTTCTTGAAGTCGACCATTTTTAGTTAGATACCGATCTGCTTTCTACGTCCACTGTGGCGTAAACACAGCATTTGCACCGAAGGCGAAGATTCTAGGCACTGCAAGAAAAAGGCCAGGGTATGGATAATAGACCGCCATAAACGCTACAAGCGCATTTCTTGGCTCTCGAAGCCCCTATCGATTTCGCTACCTCCCAAGTTCCTTCAAATCTTCTACGTTAAAGAAATGCAGCATTTACTTAACAAGCAGCCACAGTTTTAGGTAGAGATTTATTCTGGCCATGGCATGCCCCTTGCTCGATTGATTGGTGCGGTAACTTACACTGTCGATCCGTCAAAGCAAATACCAAATCTACTGTAATCTCGGCCTTCTTTGGCTTACCAGTTACCTGCACGATGCAAATCTCTGTCCTCGCTGTTAGCGAGCCGCAGCCTGCCTATTTCCATATTTTTCCTTCCTATATCTATACATATTTGCGCTTGTGGTATTACCTTGGACGCTTTTTATGACAAGCTGTAGTTATGCAGAACCGCTCCAAGGGCGTATCTCCGAACTCACTTTAGAACAATAGCGATGCATGTCTGTTATCTGATGTTGGGTGTTCGGAATTCTGTAAGGCTGTTCGCCCGCATTTGCTCCATCTTTCTTCCCGCTTACCCTGTAGCATCTCTACGACATGCGGCCTTGTTCATGCAGACTGTACTGAAGAACGCTCTCTTGCGCTCATTTCGCCTCCTGGCCCTGATTTGTCTCTCTAAATGTTTTTCAACCCCAACAATTAGTTCGCTGCATCCCCGCCGTCCTGCGTTGCCTTACAAGGCAATCCTGTTCAAGCCTGCCGTGTTCTTACGGCAGTTCCACTTGCGTCTATGAGTGTGTACTTAAACCATGGGCACAATCATACCAGTTCCGACGATTCCTGTCTCTTTGCTCGAGCCCAGAAAAGTATGAGGACACCTGCTACTTCTAGCATTTACTTCTGTTTTTTTGCCGCCGCTGAGGCAAACAGCCAGCTGCCTGCTCAGTCGACTTGCCGATCGCATTCCGTACGACAGCTACCTCCGAAGCACAAAACTGACAGCGGCACGTGCCGATATTTTACAACGTAAAAAATTGTAGTTTTGAGAGGTAGTTGCCTGTTCTGCATGGCATTTTCGCTTCCGAGGCACCAACAACACAGGTGTTCGCGGCAATATGACCTATTCGTTCAACTGAAGTCTTCCGACATGCTGTAGCTAACTAGCTAACCATTATATCTACGCTTGCAAATCTCCTAGCTGCTTGTGGCTTGGTTTTTGAGCTTTTTAGGGTTCGAAAAGTATAGCGGTAAGCAAAGGCATCGGGAGAAGCCTTAGGGATCAAACGCACGTGTCAGACGTGTATAGAAGTACGTATATCTATATATATATATATAGATCCGTCGTATATATATATAGATGAATCCGTTCAAGCGCAGCCATAGACCCAATTTTCGCGGCCACAGGAACAGTGGTATTAGTAGCTGGGGTTGAGTCAGTCGTGGTGGTAGGGGCGGTGGCAGCTGCAGCAGCTGTTAATCTAAAGAGACTCGTCGTTTTGTGTTTCACGGAGACCGGCTGGCGTTTTGGCGTTCTCTTGCTTAGGTTAGGTATTCCTCGTGTGGGACGTTGTTCACTTTGGCTCAGTCGGTACTGTGCCAGCTGCCGAACTTCGTGCTAAGTTCAGCTTCTTTCTACGGGCCCTTCTCCGCGTGGCTTGGCAGCCCGTTTTTCTTCTCGCACATCCTAAGTTTGCTCGATGGCGTCATTTGACCCGGAATTTGCCGGCTTGCTATTCAGCATCCGCTTGCGCAGACGCCTGCCATCGTCGCCAATCTTGTCCCATCTTGGACTACCAGGCACCACCGGAGCAGCTTGAAGCCAACGCTACCGCACGATCTGTAACAATAGCACAGATGAAAATACAGAAAACTTCACTGAGTAGCTGCGGAGGCATTTGCAGTCGTAGCCAAACGAACATGATTGTCCGAGAGACAGAAGTCAACTGCAGACGGTGCTTAAAGCAGAGCTATGCATCATGAATATTGTGCACGTTTTGATCATCGTTTCTTTATTCCACCTCCCAGATTCCTAGCCATCTTCTCCAACTCAATTTTGATGAAAGCTCTACATCAGCAAATGGGCGAACGAGGAGGCGTCTGCGCGACTGTTTGTCGTTATCTGGTATGCGTTCCTTGGCCCACATAGATGAGGAACTAGGTCTCGTCTGTCCTCAACGGGCGGCGGTACATCGGTTTTGTAAGGCTACCATAGTGAGCTATGAAAGGGCAGTGAGCACATTTGCTTTGAGTGTGACAGATTAGCGCCATGTTCCCGTGATAGCTTAAAGAGCAACGAATTTGGCCACTGATTAAAGGATCATTAGTGGCCTAGGTTCGAATCAGAGATATATTCCAAGAGCAGAAACATAGCTGGAAACCAGCCATCTTTGGGACGCCGAACGGCGGTGCCAAACGTAAGACTCGAAACGTTCAGATTAGCATCACGGGGTTTTGAAAAGGGTGCGATCCTTGTTCAAAAATTAGATGCCTGGGGGAATCTCCTGAATACGAAATATGTAGCCATATTTGCATCCCAATGTATTGGGTTGGCGACTCTGATAGAGCAAAATACGGGCAGCTAAGCCAGCTTATAGCTACGCACATAATAGTAAATCAACGGAATTCAGCAATGACAAATAGTAGGATTGCTATGTACGAGATTAAACAGTATTTAAACCGTGACAGGTATAAACGCACTGAACAAAGAAGGAGACTTAAGATCAGAGAATTCAGCTCGTCTTATTTTTTAACCTAAGGGATCGTGCGTAGAAGTATCCGTGCCTTTGAATGGGTCCTGCTTTTGAATATTTTTGAGGAGATCATCGCCATCAGCAGAATGAACTGGACAGTCAGCAGTTGATATTCCAGCTTCTCGTACACAGGTTCTCTCCGTCGTTCGTTTTTTTTTCTCTATATGTCTATTGCTCTTGAGTCTACCCCTTTTTGAAAATGTTTTATGGGCATTATAATAGTTTTCTCTGGCTGGCGCTGGCTCGGCCTTCACTGCATCGCCTCTCAAGGGGTGTTCCTTGATGCTCGCCGCCCTCCTGTCTACGTTACCGTAGCCGAATGATAGGCGGACCGCTAGCCCGCGAGTGAGTTAGTTAGTTCAGGATACACACTGAACCGCATTCCTCGAAAATGCCTACCAGGACCAAGTTGCCTTAACTTCCGGAATTTCGCGTCAGCCTTTCTTAGGTTTTACCCACGTTTTCAAGGGTATATGGTCTCGATCTTGAATGGTTGGGCCGTGCTCATGCTGCTACCCAAATGCATTTGGTCAATATACGGACATATAGTACGTTTTGTACTATATTCGCGGCTTATTATATCTTGAATTGGCAAAAGCCTGTAGCTTTTGAAGGCTTTATTAGAGAGAATTATGGCATGATAGAATACGATGTAATAATACTAATAATCATAATAGTGAACTACCTTATACTCCTCAATTAGTGAGTCTCTGTGTATATGAATGACCTATTTTTTTATTTGGATTTTTTTCTGTATAGACTTTTGCCAGGTAAAAGTCACGATGAAAGCGTCATGTCTGAGAAATATCACGTTTATGTTAAAAAAAAAATGTAAAACACGCTTCTATAGATTCTGATTCAAACCGAAAAAACAATCATTTTGAACAAAGTTTCTCAACAACAAGTGCTAACTTGTTAGCATAGCATTGTATGTGTTGTTAGCTTTTTTGTTTTCGTATTTTCGAAAAAATAAAAAAAAAAAAGAGGTCTTTTTGATTTCCTGAAAGAAACTAAATGTGGGGTCTCTTTCATGTACGATTAAAGCTTTCTAGAGAATAGTAATGTTCCCACATCGATTGATTTCTCAACTGGCCTGGTATCATTCCGAAAAAGAAAATCTGTTTCAGCCTAGGATAGCGAAATAACGACGAAGGCGTAACAAGTGAGATGATGGGTTAATTGCAATGGATATATGGTCTAATTGACACAAAGGTATGGAGCACCTGCTACAAGATCTTAAGTAACTAGAAGACAATCGTGGGATACCTGAATTAAAAAAAACTGAACAGTCAAAGCAAATAGCGGAATTATCACTGCAATATTATTAAATTCCTCAAATAAAGCAGCGCAAACAAGTATTTTTTTTAGCTAAAACCTTTACTTATTCAAATTTCCCAACAATATTATATATAATGATTTTCCCTGTGCAACTCGATGACTCGGGTCAATGGGTTTCCTGTAGCAAGCTGATGGAAGAGCTGCAACAAAAAAGGAACTAATAGTGAAACAAAAGTAGCTGCAACAGAGTAACCCAACATTCGGGTTTAGATTAAGCAAGTAAACCCGCTTTAGATTATAACAGAAAAGTTAGCATGATAGTCTTGGATAAAGGCCAGTTGCATGCATAGTAAAAATCACGTGCGTGAAATGTATGAATCAAGAACTGATCATGACTCTTTATAGGTAAAAGGTTAGTGAATGTTATGCATAAATGGTGATATTCGTAAGGTTTCTCGGACACAAATCACGTGGTAACGGCCATTCAGGCCCAGTTTTTGTGTATTTTGCTCATCTGTTGACCTTTGTTTTTCCATTGTTGACCCTTTATAGGACTTGGTGACGGCGATCTCGACCTTTCTCAGGAATTGGTGACCGGACTTTTAAAGAAGTACCCAAACGGCGTGCTATCGATGTTTTTCCAAGCCAGGCAATACCAAGTTCGGGGAGACATCGACAACGCGATCCAAGAATACAGGAATGCAATCGCCGCCCAAAACGAATGGATTCCTTTTCACTATATTTGCTATTGGGAACAGCTGTGGTGCTTTACGTGAGTCCTGCCTTGTTTTTTCTAGCGCCGTTGGTCGTTATAGCTTGGAACACTGTGCAGGTTAGAGGATAAATTTATAGAAATTTGCGGTCGGGTAGATTGTTGTTCGTGTACAGTAAACACATAGGGGTCTTTTGCCCCATGCGTAGCAAATATAACATTGATTTAGGTCATTATCGGAGATAGGAAGTGAACACTGATGTTTCAAATTCGTGGGCCGTCCCGTGAAAAATTGTCCAAGGCTCGGTTTTTCATCTATTAGGGTTCGGTAAGATGTCACTCATAGGGCTAACACGGTGACTAAGTGCCGACCAATACATAAGTAGGCATACATTTACAGAACGCTTTCCGGTAGAAGTACTCTTTGAATAAATGATCTTGTTTTGAATCGGGCCAACCATATTCTGGCACCTAATAATTAACCGAAATGTTTGCCGTGCACAAGAAACTTCCTTTCGTATCCTCCACTATCATGCATATTGAGCAGTTCGTATTTATACCCTGGGCAGATTTCCCTATCATATTTACGATAATTATTTAATAATTGGTAATGACACTACTGGGGGTGTATTTGTTTGCATATTATTATTATTATTATGCAATTATTAGAATAATGTTGAATTGCCAGAGACAACTTAACATAAGAATCTCTTTAGGATATTGTAATTAATTAATGTTGCTCTTTATTTGTGTCTACCTAAGCGGCTTCGGCTGTTTTCCATTGGCACAATGTCTGTTGTCCCTAGACCCCCAATTGGACATCAAGTTACACTGGAAAGTAATAAAGGCGGAAAGGGGAAGTTGGATTAGAAGAGAAAATGATGTCAGCGAAGCAACTGGCTTGGATTTCGACCCATATAACCCGTAATATACAAATCGTGCTAATATGTTACCTTATCTCCGACGCGTGGTCGAAGCAAGAGAAAAATAATAACGCCACTATGCCACTTTAGGGTGAAGTTACACAGGCCTATCTTGTCACCGTCGCGTCTACCGTTGTTTACGATCAAGCGTAAATCGCAAACTGATAAGGCAAAACAAACACTTGTTCTGTTTGTACGTAAATCCGTCGTACACAGTCGCTGCATGTGAGTGCAACGCAGCTGAGAAAATCCATCACGTATTCGGCGACGTTCTGATGACTGCACCTTTAAACGTCAAAACGAAGAATGGCAGGGTGAAGCATACAAAAATTTCATAGATTCCCACTGATATCAAGTTAGACGTGCCTAGTTATACCAGAAGATGGCATAGACTCAGTGTACGCAGTACGAGTTTTTACTCACGATATGGCCACTCAGTATTTCAAAGGAATATGTCGTACGAAGATTTACGTCCTTCGACGTCTAAGTAATAAGTAGTTTTCCGAGCAAAAGGACGTCATTTGTGTATAGACGCAAATAGAAAAACTAAGACGAGTAATGCTGTTTGTAGACGGCGGCAACAATATCACATTCATAAGTATACTTTGCGGGTCCTAAATAAACCTTACAGTCGACACCACAAGAGCACTTGATTCTATCATACTAGCTAATTAATAGTGCTAATGAAAGGGCATCGACTTCATATTTAATATGGCGCTAATTTCGCTGTACACAGTTAGGTGTCCACAAATAAGGTTTAGTACGCACAAATCCCTCTCGAAGAGACTATCTGAGTGAACGAAGACCATATCACCCTCTTTTGCTCCTCCAAATACAATCTTCACATTGTCAGAACAAGAAGCACTCATGTGTCCGGAGGTCATACTGGTGGTCTTCTATGCAAGTAACCAATCGTTACATTTCTACGACGATTTTCAGGTACAAGGGTGCGTGGGATGACGCCATTAGGACCGCGGACATCCTGCTGGATGGCTGTCGTTGGTCCAAGGCATGCTATCAGTACATACGCGCCTGCTGTCTCTATCAGAAGATGATCGAAGAAAATCGACCAGAATTGCTCGACGAAGTGGTAGCTAACATGCGTGCCGTGCCCGCTCTTAAACAACGCATTGCCGGCAAATCAATCCCGATCGAGAAGTTTGTATGCAAGAAATCGGAGAAATTTATCGAGCAAGGAAACCGGCTTTTGTTACCTGCTATCGTACGTACAGCCAATGATATCTTTGCAAGTGTTAATGCGTATATTACAGGCACACATACGTGTACACACCTATTTAATGATAATCTTGAACAGCGAAGTGGCACGAAACACAGTTTAAAGGTTACGTTTATACTTCGTAATCACTAGTGCAAAAACGCTGGCGGTGTTCTCCTATGCAAACATCGAATGTCGTACTTTTTGTTAGAGCGGATTTTAGTTAGATCTCGGTCGCATCTCGATTTTTGCGCGCCGAAAATTATTAATTTCATTTCACAAGTGGCTCATTATTTTCGAAGTAAAGATCCGGACGACTTTAAGAAACAACTAGATTACATATTTATCAAACAATCGTATCTAATCATCATGATCGTTGAGTTGCTTAGCTGAATCTTCTTTATTATTGTGCGAAGAGTACGTGCGCCGCTAAACAGAGCGGCTTTGGAAACGTCACTGTTACTAGATGAATGCCTGCTGGAACCAGCAGTAGCGGCAGCCACAGAAACTGCAGCAAGTGTTTTCAAATGCATTTGAACACCTTAGAGTTTTACTAATACATACATTCTTTCTGTTACGCAAGGGAAAAGTGGAGCGCCACAGCGTACTCTCGGTATAGTGCCATACTTTCATGCTCTCTAATTTAGCTCTTTCGGCTGACGTACCTTGCAAATAGGTCGAGAACACGCTGCCCACTCCACCAGACCTGCGGCCCAGCCCAGTTCAGCAGACGAGTTGGCGGTTATGGTGGTGAACCAGAGAGAACGGATGTACAAAGTTCATAGCATAGCATTAGCTTCTCCGCTTTCGTGTGCTATATGTAAGGAGTGTTCGTATATGTGAATATTAAAGAGTGTATATATGCAAGCTATACTTTGCTCTCAGCTGGTGCTCACAGTTTCTTTCGGTTAGCCCGCTTCTGTGTCGCCTTTGATCTTTCCTTAGACGTCCACCTTAAGCCTGTACTAATCTTGGGAGTTTGGTTCGCGTTAAACTGAATAACCGCACTGGCAGGCGATCAGAAGCGGAAAAAGAGAACGAAATACAACGGTAACTCGCATTAGAAATCTTTATGTCATAGTAAAAACAAAATTTAGCGAGATTCGCTCAGAAAGGTCAGAGAAAATTTCTTGAGAACATCACTTTCGACATGCATACGCTTCGTCTAACATCTGGGGGGCAATTCAGGCATCTGTGTTGACCTACCTCGTTTGTTAACGGGGATTTGCTAACATCTACCTAAGCTGGCCTCGTCTCTTCGATTGAAACATTTAAATTGTTTTAAATAGTCACATAATTGATTAAATGTAATATCCTCTATAGGTAAATAAGTAACATAACAGAACAAATATTCAGGTGCAAAAACGTGTCAGTTGTTTTCCTATTTTTCAGGCTGTCGCTTAAATTATACGTATTTACTTGTAGATGTTCTCCGTAGGCTGATCGGTTTTATTTAGCTTATAACGGCTGTTCCGGCTAGTTTCAGATTGATTTTCACTTGGGGAGACTGCACACCTAATAGAAAAGGAACAGCAATCGTTTGACGCGGAATTTCGGATAAGTAGGGTAGCTCACATTTAGTTCTGCTTAACACTTCGTTCTCATATGCTTGCTCTTTTCTGCTTGCTGCTTTGTGTTCGTACACTGTTGCAGGAGTTGATGTACACGTGGAACAGCTTCCCTATGATAGGCAAAAACGGACAACTTCTCCTCAGCATTCTCGGAAATATCGAAGCTGAATTGCCTCGTGTCAAACAGCTAAAAGGTAAAACTGGGAATATTGAATAGGCATAGTTATCTATACAAAATGGGTGAGTGTTTCTTTTGATTATAGCTGGGTGTTTCAAGTGGCCTATCCCCATAATGAAACGGCAAGAAGCTCGCTTACTAAGCTTAGAGACGTCTGATGTGATGTGGGTTCGAAACCTGACTTGAACACGTTTTTTTTTTAAGTGCTGGAAGCCAGCCGTCTGAAGCAACACTTTACGACAATACCAGATTTAAAACTCCAGACGTCTGCTGGAAGCGACCTCGTGTGCCCACAAAAACAGCGGACATAACCAGGTCTCTCACAAAATCACTGTTTATTTCTTAAAGTCAACCAGATGGGCTTTCGATATAAGGATCAGTTTATAATAGTTCCCAAATACTTTTTTTTTTTTCTATTAATTTACACCCGATTTTAACGGATCGGCGCACTTTTTCAATTTTTTAAGAACAACATGCGTTTGCAACATAGGTACGAGACCGTAAAAAGACAAGTAATAAGCAACACATAGTGGTATTTTTTAATGACTGACTAAATTGAAATATCAACAATATATACTTGTTTATGCGTGTACACACTTCTTACTATTAATCTGCCATTCTGAACTCTGTACTTGGATGCACTAGTCATGATCCGATCTATCCTAGGTATTTACATCAGCCAATGTCCTTTCCTCGACTCATAGCATCACCGTAGCAAATTAAACACGGTAGTTAGCAGCTGCATCGTTAAAACCCTCGCTTGGCCTCCGGTAGTGGTGGATTCCAGATGCACTTATTGATAACGTCGTTGTAACAGAAGTAAGAGTTCTGGAAGCAACACATGGCTCCGTCCTACATAGACACCCACCTTATTCCTCTGTTTCCGCGAGTGAAACCACTCGCTCTTGCTACTAAAGCGCTGCTGCGTTGTTTCCTTATATATCCGGCCACAGTGGCGCTAGTGGATCTATGTGATTAGAACGGCAGAACCAAAAGGCTTGCGCTCGCCAAAGCGAGGTGAAACTTCGCTGCCTAATGGGTCTGCTATGATATTGCTGTTTCTAGCAAAAAACCTCATCGAAAAAGTCGTAACATTTTCATCTAGAGTAGCGACCGGTCTGGGAGCTCAGACTAAACTGGGTCTGAACACTTTTCGAGAGCGGAGTAGATGGTCTGGTGGACTGGACAACGACGCTTACAGAAGTGCGTTTCATCGCAATAACGATGACTTCCAGGGCTGATAATGGCTCTAAAGGACGTAAAGGCATAATGCTACTGAAAGTTGGTCTGCGCCTCCAGCCGGCCAAAGGAAAAAGTCAAAATTAGACGCCCAATTAAGTAACCAGTGACAATAAAGGTGTAGGCGGTTAGGGATTAGGTGATGCCGTAAGTGTTGTCGTCGTCGTCGAAGATGATTAAGCTGATGAAACCACTATACAGTGACGATTTCGAGTAAAAGTGTATGCATACATACACAAACGGATACAATATTTGGCGGGAATTTTTTATTCTTTTTCTTTGTTTGCAGATACTGAGGAGAACTATATCGACGACTACTGTCTTGCGGTACTCCTGAAAGGTGTCTGTATGCGTTATATGGGACACAATCTGCAGGCCGAAGAGTGCTTCAAGGAGGTCCTTGAGTAGTAAGTATTTACATGGATTATATGTGTTTGGTGAATCCTCGTTGAACGGATTAACCCAGCACAGTTGAAAAAAAACGAGGATTCGTCTAACTTGCTGATTGGCTTTTTGGCTCGGAAGTATAGAAAACGTTAAACCTGCGAAGCCATCCTTTTTATCCTCTAAAAAGATAAACGAATATTTCGACTGGCAAAAGCTTTGTACCATTTTGCATTGGGTCGGTTTATAGACAAACAATTGGTGCTAAAACTATACACCAGAGTTTATTGATCGACTTATGTTAGAAAACTGTCTCTTGAAACAGAGTAACAAGGCATCATAAGCTTCGATACGGTTTTCACTCGCCGCGTCTTCTTTTCGCTTGTGTGTTTCATTGCCCCAACAGCGAAGCCCAGATTAAGGACGATACGTACCTGCCCCCGTTTGCTGCCGCTGAACTCGGCTACCTCTTCCTTAAGCAGAACCAGTTCGAAAAGTCTCGCGAGTACCTTGACATGTCCCGAAGTCAATATCATGACTATCTGTTAGAGTCACTCGTGCACTTCCGTATTCACTCGGCCATCAAATCAATGAAGAGTTCCGGCTTTCTCTCAACACCAACGACACCATCACCTAATTCATCTCCATTTTCCTCGCCAGTTTCTACGCCCATGCATCCAGGATCCGTGATCGGGGACTTTCCCTACATTTCGACCAGCCCAGGCGTTCCGGAGAAGTGTCCACTGGGGGCTAACAGCATCAACAACAACACCAACGCCGTACAGACTGTCACCGAGTAGACGACAGATGCGAGAGCAACTCGAAACTTCCAAATCCACAGTATCAATGAGAGCAACTATAAATTAAGAATTCGGTTCTGACACCGGAAGTATAGACATCATTATAAAAAGAGAATTACAGGAGAGTACAGACACCTTGAGCGCATGTGTCTATATCAGCCAACAGAACGGCTATATTCTAACATGGTACTTAAGCGTTGGTCGGCTCGCCCATACCGCCGATCGGAGCACTATAAGTGCTGTAATCCGTATGATGGATGGCGTAGAGATCGGATCTCGGTCTGAGATCGATTTGGTATATCTTTCGGCGGATCGGATGAGCATATCCGCGCCGGTATGCGCTAACCTGATAGCTACAGCGTCCTGACTTGTTGCCTTCTCGTCTACAGCAGGTATAAATCGCCGGTTGAGCAGGGGCAATCTGTTGGTCAGTGCGCGCGGGCCTTGGGTGCTCTTAGTGTATGTGAGTCCAACATTTGTGAATACGGTAGAGATGATTGCAGCGAACAAATGACAATATACAGACGAGAAAAGCTAACCATTAGTATAAGCAACTACCACACGTTGAACGGGCGGCTTTCGTCATTGGCAGGAAAGAGGTCAGAAGTCGCAGACAGGATCTGAACGAAATGTGTTAAACACTCGTTTCTATAACAGATTAACAATAATCGCGTTTCTCGCAACAGTTCAGACAACGCCGCCTGGTGGGGCGGAGGGGGATACGCAGGGATTTCAGATGCGATCGAATGTTCCTCGATCTTCCTTTCGAAGCAGTCGTGCACTGTTCTAAGTGATAGCTAGATAGAGATATCCGTGAGTCAGCCGCTCTCGGTGAGTGACACACTTTTCGTTGGACAAGAGCTCGCCTTCCTCTTTTGTTTACCATTAGCGAAGTCGCCAGCTCCGACTGTGTTGGTAATTTTCGGTCACCTGGGTATGCACAACTATAAGCTATAGCAAAGATAATAATACTGATAGCCGAAGAAGTAGAGCAGACGACGATGACACCAACATAACCCGTCTTTTATGGACAAAGTACACATTAGGAATTCATCGCGTACATCTTACATTTTCCACAGGCTCATTTACTTTATCAGTAAACGATTTATAAGGATTAGTATGATTGCTACCATACAAAACGCTCAGTTGTTTGGTTCACGCTGGGTGTTAGGCGAATTCTATTGACAGATAATTTGTCGAGAGTGAATAGCTTGCTGTTAGTAGGTTGCTCACGAAATTCAGCCTTATAATCGAAGATAATAAATATAGTTTTCATGAAGTGATCATCTGTACTGCGAAAACTTTTAAGATTAAAGAACTTAGTAAATATCGAGAGGTCACCTCCCCGGCCGTCTAGTTTTTGTGTAGTCTAGACGCAACAGACACGTACACAAGAACACGCTGGCAGGAATACAGCTCTCGGTAACAGATGAGTAAACGAACCTAATCGCATTGAAAATCTGCTCGCACGCAGCCGCTGGGTCTAGAAATGTCGTACCGTTTTCCGTAATCTGTGCGAAACGTCTATATCCTTATCGGTTACAAACACACAATGCCTATGTTCAAGTTATGACACTTGCGGCACTCAAAAACCGATAGGTAAAAAAATCACGTGAAAACAACTATTACCAAATATCGACTGAATCCAATATTGACCGTGTCGTACTTTCGTATATATATATAAATATAAAAAAGAAACACATACAGTACTAATCGTAGATGAGCATGCATTTATCATTGCTATATTTAATGTTATCGAGATTATTATGCTATGACTGAAGTAACCGTCATTCGACGATACTTCAACATTGACAAAGGTCAATATATAATGTATAGTTGCTTAGCACAGTTCGATATTATATTATATAGAAGCGAATAAAGACTGAGTAACGATATATGGGTGATAGTTCTTATGCGATTCAACGGTAGATATAACTGTAGTGCTCGAAGGTGACAGTAGAGCCTAATGCTGATAGCGAATCAGTGGTCAAAAATCAATTCATATGCTACCGAGGTGCCTTCTCTTAGCGGATACTATTGATAGCGTTGATTATTATTAGTAATGGTAATATTGAAAAGAACTGTTCGTGTACGCCAGGGAGTCGTTGTCTTCCTGCGGAAGCAACGCACGCAATAGCTCACCCTAGAGGCTGCTAACACAATTAAGTGCAACAACAATTTCTTCGCAGTTACACGAGATAACATATGCATACTTGTAGAGATAGAGAGACATATACTCCAAAATAAAAAAAAAAACATTATAGTACTATTATCGCGATAAGAGAAGCGGTATAACCTAGATGGTAACCGTGCGAAGAATACAGAAAGGGAAAAAAAGAGCCGCACTATCGGCTCGAAGCTAAAGGACTTTGCTAAGTATGAAAACGTAGTTAAAACTGTACCTTTACACACGGAAACGTATACATAGTATATATAAATACGTTATAAAAGATGAAAAAAGCTACGAGTGCAAGACGAGTGAGAAAAAGAAGTTGATTTCAACCGAACTGCTACCCCGATAAATATTCCCTTAGATTTCCCTCCCCACAGAGGAATCCGTCAAAGCGTTCAAAGGTTCCGAAACATTCATCTCTATAAAACATATATATATATATGTTTATATATAAAACATATATATATATATATATATATAGCACAATTCGACAGGAGCACAGATGCGATAATCCCAGCCCAGTTCCCGCGAGATCCCACGTGTCGTCAAAGTGCAAATACAACGTTAGTGGCTCTGGCCTGTACTATCTAGCAGTGCCCATCTGTGCATTGTGCACCCAAATGGTGTAAAAGCAATACGGGACAGTTGGGATTGTAGGGTTTCCACTTTCAACTCCATAAGCACATGCTAACTGATTCGTTCTTGCACGTGCGGACTTAAAAATAAAGTTTAGTTTTTGCTATTATGACTGCGAATTTCTTTCAATAAATTCAATCTTCCCGCTATCTTAAATGATGTTGACCAGTCCTCCTTTCCTACCACCGAGCGATCCGGGGATTCAAGGGATCCGAACGTTCGTCGAAATACGAAATAGCAACGCGCAACAATCAAGCTAGAAATTCCTCCCGCTAGATAAATAATCTATATACAGCCATATAAATCTCATGCTGTACTTTGCGGTAGAGGCAAAAATATACATATAAAGACAAAAAGTAGAAATGCTATAGATAACAGTATACTCAGCAATATTAAATAGAAGACACTGAAGTCATTTCTGCATTTTCTGCCTTCCCATTCCAAACGCTTCTGTGGTTGACTCTATCCTCCGAGCGGACGCTCCTATAACTTATGTAGCTTCTAATTTCAGCTTTGATAGCGATTGTCACTGCGTTATCATTTCGGTCAGTTTGTTCGTGTCTGCGAATGTGAAATATTGTCATAGAATGAGAAATCCATGTTTTTGCAAACACTCAAGTCATCACTGATTGCCTATACACGTTTACGTGTATGCTATATATATATATATATATATATATATAGCGTAATAATAATAGTAATTATGGTGATTATCGTATAACGATGATATTGATGAGAACGCCGTTACTCAAGTCGACAATTACACTTTCTAATGTATAAACTACGCAAAAAGGCCGAACTGCCAGTTTGTTTGCTCTGTAAATACACAGACCCGACTGAGAAAAAGACGTACGCGACGAGGCCAAATACATTTTTACCAGAACTTGGTCACAAGAAGGAACAAGTTACACAAATAGACAACCATACAAGACGAACAGCCATCAAAACAAAAGAGGAAAACATCATTATAAAAGTACGTGATCATACTAGTAGGTGCCGTAGGAAGAACGGTTCGAACTCTGTGTAAGCGCGTCAGAAACCTATTAGGCTTCAAGAAGGTCAGCGGCAAAACAACACAATCACAGCTAGGACTGAATAGCGAAAAACCAAAATATTGCGATGATCGAAGCCGATAGGCACAAGAAAGCAGCACAATGTCAACATGTAGGAAAAAAGACGAGACAATAAGAGTAAAAAAGGCTCATCGTTCTAATTAATTAGGTGATTGTATGATAAACGAGTTGAGCCATAGCGGCTACTAAGTATAAATCCATTAAAAGTTGATGAGAAATAGAAAACATAAGTAGAGAAACCCTGTAATATTCTTGTGCTCTTTCAAGGAGAAAAGATTTTTCGAAAACATTTTTCAAAAATGTATCAGTATTCACATTTGCGTCCCTATTACCGCTGCAGCTAGGTTTATTTGTACTAATTCAAATTGACCACCCTGAATACGAAGAGCTGGATATAATGGTCGACGAAATTCGGATTTAATGAAGAACCGACATTGGATTTCATATGTCTTATTTTATGCTGTCAGCCAGTAAACGTGTTACTATAACTCTATCTGCAGCCGACTGTTAAATCAGACTTGGTGGAAAAACCATTACATACTATTCTCCGATAGATCTGCCAAAATAATGGTTTGCTTATTTAAACACGTTGTCCACGAGAAACAGAACAGAATATTAATCTAGATATTATTATGATTAACTATCGTTTCCATTGAAACTTGTGGCGTCACATTATTTCATGTGTTCTATATATGTTTTTTGCGTGTTGAAAACACAGCTTAATTGATCTACTTTAATCTGAGGAGCCTATTTCGATAGTCTCATTTTTCGACAAGCGCTAGATCTTTCTAGAAGAAATGAAATTCACTTATACGCACCGCGAAGCCGTACTTCATCTATGATTACATCTGACGAAGTATTTAGATATGTTGTGATTTGCGCCTCCGCTACTGCGTACAGCAAACATAGATAGCAGTGCAAGCAAACACCTCACGGGTTAATGGGCAAACTTGTTGAAATCACTTGGCAGAAAGGCGGGAGTTAATTAGTCGTTTGAAATTTGAAAAATACCGCCGTTTATGACGAAGCTGATAATGATGATCCTGAATATGAAAAAGGTTACGATGCGTTCCGCAGGAAGTAAACAAATAAATCAATATACGAGCAAAAACACACGGAACGACAGAGTATCTTAATAAAATGATAATAAAAAAGGAACTGAAGATAACATATAACAGGACCGGAATCACTATAAATTCTTATGGAATCTACGCAAGTATAAATAAGATGGTATTATTGCTATTATTATTGTACTGCTATTCTAAATGTGTATATACATATAAAATCATAGAATAATACTTCATAAATAAAGGACGGTGATCACTACGCGTGTCGTACAAATGATTTGAAACATCGATTGTTCTCATTGTAGACGGATCTTTATCGTTTGATAGAATAATGTAGATAATTTTAACGAAAACGCAAATGAACAGAAATTATTATATAAATCATATCGATGAGCAGTGGGATACGATTTCTTAGGTAAGTGTGTTGAGCTGTATGTCCTTCACTGTTGTTAAAGCTTTAAAAAACGTCATTGAAAGTTTAAATTGTGCGCATGGGCGTTTTTCAAGGCAAACCTGAAAATTCGAAGTAAAGGAAACTCTTTTTTCGGCGAATGTTGGCTTTGAGATACAGAAAACATGTGTGTGTGAATGTGAATGAAAAATGTGAGTATACATGTGTCACTGATTGGTGTAAGAAAAACTGCTTCTCTAGATTAATTCATATGTCCTTAATATATTAAACTTGCTTTATCTGTTTTCACTACTGATTATTTCAAGTTGAATGCTTTGACAAAAAAATAGTAAGAAGGCGAGCTAGACATTTGCGCTTTAAATATCATGGGTATAAATTAGAAATTTCTATGGAAAAATATTGTATAAAAAATTATCGGGCTAAAAATGTTCTTTCAATTTCACCCTTTGCTAAACAGCCAGATTCATCTTTAGGCTACCCGGCCAGCAACGAAATTCAGGTTAGGTGCGTAAACCTGACGGGAAGGACGGAGCCATCTAAGCTCGGAGATTTGGGCAACCCATACAAATCGGGGGCTTATAGATACTGTCCGATACACGATCATTTCATTGCAAACGAGAATAATTAAAGCCCGCATCCATTGCCAATACGCTATTATTATACGCATACTGCCCTAAAAAAATCTCGCAAAAAATTATCAACAATAATTTCTGTAGATTAAGGAACGTAACGTCAAGGCTTCTAATGTAGTGACTTTCCAGTTCTCAAAGGATCCGTAAAAATAACGTCGATCTCTCTGTGTATTGTGATAACCAGCCCAATCAACAGACGTAATTGCTTGCCGAAGATCCTTGATTAGCATATCTCATCAGTGTTTTACACTTGCAAACGAGCAGCACCCATAGGTCACTTGCTTTTATAATCAGCGTCAAAGTGTCCAACATCGGCAACAACAAAAGAAGACGTTCATTTTGAAATATATCTTACTATAAACTAGGAAGATATATTTACATAGTATCTATAGGGTGTCAATCGTACGCTTTTTAGTTATACGTTAGCCCTACTTATGTAAGTACACAGTACAAATGTCACCTAAAACGTTTTGGATGCACGACGCAGTACCGATCAGCTCAAGCGTCTGGACATCGTGATCCATGAAATCAAATAATTTCGAAATCTGATGTTGCGCGTTTGTAAATCATCAGGGTCAAATGCTAGCTCGAAACACGAGCTGAATTTATTTCCTGATTCAATCGAATATTAAACAAGAGTCAAGACAAATTCTCGGTTGGTCTTTAAACCCCTGTCTGGATCGATGGCTATTTCACGTACAAAAAATATCATATAACAAACGGTATAGAATATCTATATATAACAACCTAAAGCATCTATACGTTCTACTAGTCTGCTTGTTAGAATTGTTGAAAGGGCATTTAATCAAACGTTGCTACTTCGATGAAAGCTTATTCCAATTACCGCGCAAAAACCTGTCGAAACACTTAGTATCAATCAAAAAATTTGCGTACTCAGTCTCTCAATGGCCTCGGCTGTGATGAATTGATTTGTAAGCGAATGCAAAGGCTGTGCATTTTCCATCAGGGCCCATTTAACCCAAAACATTTGCACAGCTACAAGCACACCTCTTCAAACGATCTAAATTAGTTTTTTCTTTCTATTTGTTATGATAGGTCACTTTGGTGGCAACAAAAAAAAAATGTTCCAAACGAAGTTTTGCTTTCAGCATCATCGACATCGTTCGATTGTTGCCTTTTGTTGCGGATGCACTAACTGACCAATTTTTTTTTATTTCCTGATACTCAGTGAGATAAATACGGGTACGGGTATTAGGCCTGCATCAGTAGTCAGGCTGGATGTACTCATAGCGTCATTTTTTCCTTAGCTCTACGCCAAAATGTTGCGGAAAGCAGAAAATATAGAGAACGGAGCGATAAAAATCAACGATGTGACGATCCATGGAAAGCCAGGACACCGCACCTCGATTTCGGTTTGAGCGCTAAACTCTATTTTGGCTGTCGTCTGTTTAGCAAGCGATGTAACTGAGTTGTAACGAATGTTTCATTTTTTCTGCTCTCACATGCTACACTTAGACTGCAGTGTCGTTTTCGACTAACATGATGTCAGTTAGGCTGTAGACCTATGCAGAGCGGCAGTTTACAAATCCGTGAAGCCTTTCAAATGTCAGAAAATAAGGCCCCAGGCAACTGCGAAAAGCGGGACAACGTAGTAGTGAATTTTTACCAAACGAAGCATATCTATGTCTGCGCTATTCTTGCCAACAGTGAGAAGCAGAGTTTAAAAATAGTAACGTCGTTTCCGCTATCAATCATCGGAGCGGTTTCCATTGCTTCTGGAGTAACTAAAATTGGCATGACGTATGAATAGTATGAGGTGAGGACAGACGTATCTCCTGTTGCCTGAGTCTAACTGCACATTTTACAGAATTATTGTATAACTAAAAATTAGCCATTTTGGCTGAGACAGTAATTGAGGCTCATGAAGGGAGACTGAAAACTGGGTCGTTTTCGCCTATTCGGTACCACCAGTACACCAACTGTTAATTTGCGATCCCTAACAATTTATATACGGTTTAATCAAAAATAGATTTTATTTTAAAAAAATACAGACTACCATCCACGACACGCCAGATATACGAACGCCGATAGAGCGTCGAACTCAGAAGCAATCTTTTTAATGGGATATTTATATTGTTGCATAAAACAGTGCAGTAAATTTCGGGAACTAAGGAGCATCTGCTTGATTAAAAAAGACTAGAAGGTCTAGAAGGGGCAGAAGTAACTGGAAGTCTCAGCTGAAAAAAGGGAAGCCTCGAATAAAGAATGACAGTACGAATTAGCTGAACAAATAATAAGTGATTTCGTTATTGAACAAGTTAACTATAAGTTTATCGACTCGGTAGAGCTGGTCACTTCGACGGGCTGGCAGCCAGGTTCGTATTGGGTCCAGAAAACATCCGCGGAGTTCGCCCCATGGGTACTGACATAATGGCCATAGTCACAATCGAATTCAACTGCTAACCTTATTCAAAAACAACGGAATCGAGATCGGCTATTGTATGGTTCATGGCCTGCTCTGCTACCTGGATCTAACGCTAAAGTTGATGTGTTAATGTAAAGATAGAGAACGCATTCGATTTTAAAGAACCGGATACAAAATGCGTTAGAAGGTAAGTTAAGCTCTAGTTGCCTAAACTTCATTCTATGGACGCACGCGCTAATATATGCTTCTTTACCGAGTTCTCTACATCTAGTGCATCAGTTTAATATTTATCTGTTAACTAGATATGAATAACTGACTGAAATTATCAAATTAAAAGCGATTAAACGCATTTTTTTATCGCATCTTTGCAATTAGATTGTTGCCCCTACGATGAACTATCAAGGAACCAAATGTCGCCTTACAGATGTGGGATGAAAAATCTTGTGTGTAGGACAAACTGAAGAGTAGATGTAAAATTTACGGGGGCGATAGGTTTCGCCTAGAAGATATAATGAAAAGCGACGTAAGCGGAACGTTCTGTAGATACTTTCCAGAACAATGCTAAGCGATCAACGTTTATTGTACAGTCAATCAATCAGCGATACGCTATACATGTATTAGCAGGTGAGCCTATATATCTGAAAGCTAATGTTAAAAAAGATTCTTCAGCGAAGTTTTCCTCGGTAAAAGAGAGCCTATTACAAATACGCGATAATGAAGTTTCTGGGCAGCGTCAATGACAAGGTTGGTGCGCAGCAGATACCGATTGGCTTCGTCCTTCCACTCTGTGTAAAAACGGGTCACGCAAGCGATGAATTTCCCAACTGGCTACAACAATGTATTTCTTGACGAAATATATAAGAGATAACCTTCTTTATTCACTACTACTACTATTTTACATACTGTAACACCGCCAAAGCCAGCTGCAATAACTCAGTAGCGGAATTTATTAGCAACATGATTATCAGGACTGCGAGTAAAGCTATTAGGTTCGAATGTCAGGGCACATTCAGTTGGCTAACTGCGAACAGATGGCCGACTCAATGCGTTTTGTTTCTGCGTTTTCCTTAGCTAGCTTAGTCGTAGAATGCAGCCGGCATACTTCTGTTTCAGTTGTAATTGACCTAGTGAGCTTGTCATGACAAACTCTTTGCTAGAATACGGTCAGCGGTACAGCAGGCAGTAACTAATAGTACCCCCTAAAAACCCCCCACAGTTGATATTGCGTTGCGTCACATTAACGTATTTTAAGGTATGTTCTAATTCGTTTCTAACTAGAATCCATTTGTAATATGTATCAGTCAACTTGTCAACAAATACATCACCCGAAGCAATGATTGTACAAAATTCAAAGAGTAACTTTAAAACGGATGCACGTCAAGCCGAAGATACGATATGACACGACCTTCATCCGATTGACGCTAAAGTCAAGATGGCGCTGATAATGCAAATGTAATGTCTTTAGCTATCCAAGGGTCAAAATTTTGTCCGGGACGTCTATTGATGCTGTTTATAAAATTGGTCAGTAAAGTTCTATCTTGTTTGCTAAGAACTTCATGCTTCAGTAATATGTTCTAACATGCTGTGTATTTAATTATCATGGCTACAGTTCAGATATTTATGTTCATATAAACTGAAGACGTTAGCAAAGCGCGCAAGATATACAGGTCGGGCGTTGACCCAATCGGATGATTAAACCGTAAAAACAGCCGACAGTTTTATGTCATTTTAGCAGACATTGTCGTCAGCTTTGCGCAGACACACGATCCCACTAGAACTTGCCACTGGGCCTGCCGGTTCCTAATTATCTTCACTATGTAATAGGCTCTTTTGAA